TAGCTCCATCTCAACCGGAAACAAGACGGACGGTGTCGCGCCTTGGACGGACTCCGGGCGTACTGCAGAAGCCAACGCCCAGCATGCGATCCATCTCTGCTGTGGACACTGCGGCAGCACAGCGGGCTAAGGCCCGGGCCCAGTACACGCTCTACTCGCGCCAGAAGAAGCCAGTGGGTGCAACAAACTCGACTAACGCGACCCAATCCCAGGGGGGTTTTGGAGGGGCGAGTAGTGGATCCCTGCCACGACCTCGCCTAAACTCCAACAGTAGCAGCCACACAATTGTAACGCCTGGCACGATTACTCCGCGCACACGGGGACGCGCAGGAGTATCGCAATCACAGCCAGGATCCCGCTCCACCTCGCCCAGCACAAAGCTGCGAGACCAGTTTGGAGTGGGCAGTTACTACAGAGGTGCGACTGGAGCCATACCCAAGAAGGCTTCCGGGATTCCCAGAAGCACGGCCAGCTCCAGGGAAACAAGTCCCACACGATTGGCTGGTGGCAGCGGCGGTGGCCTAATGAAACGCAGCATGTACTCCACAGGATCAGGCGCACGACGAACGCCCGAGCGAAACAACCCTGTGCGTCCCTCGGCAGCGGCTCGACTGCTGGCCCAATCTCGCGAGGCAGAGCATACGCTAGGCGTGGGAGGAGTCGACGGCAGTGAGGGGCAGGCGGACTTTGTCTCCGGAGACTACATGCGGAGCGGGGGCATGAGGATGGGACGAAAACTAATGGGACGCGACGAATCCGCGGATGACATTGATTCGGAGGCCAGTTCCGTGTGCTCCGAGCGGTCATTCGACTCCAGCTACACGCGGGGCAATAAGTCAAGCTATTCACTGAGTGGATCCCACACCCGCCTGGATTGGAGTGCCCAAAGGGCTCCGCTTGACGACATTGAGACGATTATCCAGTACTGCGCATCCACCCACTGGTCTGAGAGGAAGGACGGCCTGATCAGCCTCACGCAGTATCTGGCCGATGGCAAGGAGCTCTCGCATCAGCAGCTGCAGTGCGTCCTGGACATGTTCCGCAAAATGTTCATGGATACTCACACGAAGGTGTACTCCCTGTTCCTCGACACCGTCACAGAGCTAATTCTCGTGCATGCACACGAGCTGCACGACTGGCTGTTCATTCTCCTCACACGGCTGTTCAACAAGCTCGGCACGGACCTGCTCAATTCGATGCATAGCAAAATATGGAAGACCCTGCAAGTGGTCCACGAGTACTTCCCTACGCAGCTGCAGCTGAAGGAGCTGTTCCGCATCATCTCGGACTCTACTCAGACACCGACTACCAAGACACGCATTGCCATTTTAAAGTTCCTCACGGATCTGGCCAATACCTACGGCAAGAGCAGCGACTTTCCCAGCGACCAGAGCCAATCCTGCGAGCGCACTGTTCTCAAGCTGGCCCAACTGTCGGCGGACCAGAAGTCCATCGAGCTGCGCTCCCAGGCTAGGTGCTGCCTGGTAGCCCTCTACCACCTTAATACCCCAGAGATGACAAAGCTTTTGGCCAATCTGCCCAAGGGGTACCAGGACTCGGCCCGCTCTTGCATCCAGTCGCATATGCGGCGGCAGAGCAGCGTCAACTCTGGTGCCAATTCCCCCAACAGCTCCCCCCTGAGCAGTAGCAGTCCAAAGCCTCTGCAGAGCCCGTCGGTGGGTCCGTTCGCCTCTCTCCAGAGCCATCAACTCAACATGAGCTCAACTAGTCCCCGCAGCCGGCAGTCATCGGTGGAGCAGGAGCTGCTCTACACCTCGGAGCTGGAGGTGCAACACAACATCCAGAAGACGTCCGAGGAGATCCGTCACTGCTTTGGCGGCCAATATAACTCGCTGGCACCCAATGGCTTCAACGGACATCTGCAGTACCACGAGCAGGCTCAGCAGGACTCGTGTGCCTCCCTGTCTTCCAACTCCAAGACGCAATCGTCGGCCAACACCACACAATCGAACACCCCAGAGTCGGCAACCATGCGGCTTGACCAGCTAGACAGGGGCGTCATGACACAATCGACGATGGCCAAGTCCCCTCTCCCCACTGGCGATCCCAAGTTGATTGTCTCCATCAGCAGGGCAGAAAACGGCGAGCTGATCCTGCCCGGCGATCTTCTGGAGAGCGAGGTGGTGTCCGTGGCCCTGACCCTCACCAAGGACCAGCCGGTGGAGCACCTGCAGATGTGGCTTACAAATTTGGGAATCTGTATCAAGGGTGGCAACTGTGAGCTGCCAAACAAACACTTCAGATCGGTAATGCGTATGCTGCTCCACATCCTGGAAGCGGAGCACACGGATGTGGTGACCGCTTCCCTGCATGTGCTCAGCAAGATCATGCGGAGCAACTCGATGCGGCACAACTGGATGCACTTCCTCGAGCTGATACTGCTGAAGGTCATCCATTGCTACCAGCACAGCAAGGAAGCTAGTCGGGAGATCGACGGCATGATAGTACGAATAGCCCCATGCCTGCCGCTCGACTTGACAATCAACATAGTGAATCCGGTTATTGCCACGGGCGAGTTTCCCACCAACTTGTGCGCCATTAAGATCCTGCTGGAGGTGACCGAGCACTATGGCGCGAATATCACAGACGCCCATCTGGATGTTGTGTTTCCCAATTTGGCGCGATGCACGGACGATCAGGAGTCTATGGTGCGTAAGGCAGCGGTCTTTTGCATCGTGAAGCTGTACATTGTGCTTGGCGAGGAGAAGGTTAAGCCCAAGCTGACGGCGCTGAACCCTAGCAAGCGGCGGCTGCTTAACGTCTACATTGAGAAGCAGAGAAATTCAAGCGGCGGTGGCAGCTCCACCAAGAACTCCTCGGCGGCCTCATCCTCATGATTGCAGGCGCGCTCGCCGGCCCGGCACCACAAAGACACTGACGCAACGCCGTCACTTAGCATACGCAAGCAGTGAAGGACGAGGGAAACGATTTAATGATATATAACTAATGATATAACAAATTATTTATAACTCTAATTCTTACTGAAAATGATATATGAGTATATTTATTGTAAAAGAATGCAAAAAAAACCCTTTAAAATTGTCAACAGATCAAACAATTATATTATATAATGATAAATCAAACCCCAATTGTACTAATATGAAATATAAGAAGAAAGATCTATAGTCAACTGTCATGCTAATGCTAACTCTGTGCTTCTCCCACGTTTCCGACTATATACACCTCGACTAAATTGTTTATAAAATGATTTACAATGGCTTTTCCTAATATGCTTTGTATTGTATTTAGTTCCATAAATTCTCGTGTCCTTGCTTCATTTCTGCTCAACTGATTCTAATTAATTTACGATTATACTACTGTTTTCACAACTGAACTATTTTTGTAATTAATTTAAAAACACAACACGAACACAAACAAGAACAACAATAAACGATTCTAGGTTATGTAATAATATTTATAAATTAATTAAACAATAAAACAGTTAAACCGAATTGCCACCAATCCCCGAAATACTATATATACTCGTACAAAATAAAGTACAAGGACCTTAGTATTTTGTTTACCAACATCCTTTTGCTAATCATTTTTTGTGTAATTTATTTCATAAAATTCAAACTTTCAAATATTTATTTACACTCGGACTTAATTATACTAAATACTTGTGTTCTTATTCCTCCACTGCTTTTGTTGAAGGTGCCGATTTTACATTTGGGACGGGGGGGTTGATTGTGTCCACGATACAAGGTTTACTTTCTTTTTATACCCGATACTCAATACTGATACCCGTTAATACATATTCTTGAGTCCGATAAAGGCATGTTTGGTGTCTGTCCATCCGCAAAAAACGCAGAATCATAGAAAATTACCATATCTACCAGATTATCGAATCTGGCTTAGATCAAATCATTGTCATACCCATAAGAAACAAATTAAACTGCAGTTGCTACGCAGCGCCTTCTATGCGCTTCCTCATTTTCTCTCCCTCTTTCTCTCTCTCACACGCTCTTTCTCGTGCAGTGTACGCCGTCTGGCGGAGGGGAGCGATACGTTCGGTCGTTAGATATGTTCGGTCATTATTTTTGCGAACAGCGACTGACCACAAGACAGAAAGAGAAAGAAAGCATGCGACAGTTACTGGCTCCGATATCAATAAATGTAGAGGTTATATACATATGTACATATGTATGTATATATTTATTTTTTGGGTAAGCGTCTTCAAAATTTTAATAGTCCCTAATTCTAACGGAAAGGACAAAGGCTTCGACAAAGGAGACAAAAAGGAACTAGTACATGAGGTTGAGATTTAACTGTGTTTGCCGTCTTATAAAAAGGCAAAATTTGTACTAATAAATCTGTATATCTGCTCTAAAATCCAATCCTCGAGGGATGGGAGAAAGCTCATTTGAGTTATTTTTAGATCGTTTCCCCGATTCAGAAAGTTTAAAAATATTGATGTTTTCAGTTTTAGTTTTAATTGTTGGGAATATTAGCATTAGGTATTGAAGCATTTAATAGCCTGAAAATTTTGCACACCACCCTTAGGAAAAGGATATTACATTATTAATGAATTATTATTAATATTAATAATTACGATAATTACGTTTCACATTTTAACGTGCACATCATGTAGCCAATTAGCCATTAGCTAACCTTGTAGAAAATTGATTCATAAATCGGATAAAGCTATGTGTTCAGGGCTGAGGGTCCTAGCTAGCTAGTAATTCGGTTTAATATCAAAATCGAGGAATATGATTTCCATGATGGACAAAGAACGATTAACCCGTTGTAAGCCAGTGGGTATTGAAATACACTCCGCTAAAATTATGCAATTTGAAGAATTTAAACGCAGTTCAGATGAAACATATCGTGGTAATTTTTTTTTTAAGTAAAAAGATTGGATGGGTATACAAGAAGTATTTACATGCAGAATTATTATCCACAGTTTAACTTAAGTTGTTTTCCTGCTTAAATAGAGGGCTGTTTAGTGGGTTAATTCTCTGGCGTACCTTCAGCCGGCCTTATTTTTACCTTCTTTGCTTAAACATATTTTAAATCTAATATAATAAAAGTGACTACTAAAGAATTGGGCAATCTAGTGAAAAATTGATTAATTTATAGCATATAATCTATTTTTCGGTGCTTCCTGCCTTTGGCCCCACAACAACACTCTTTCTCGGGCCGCAAAAAATGTAAACAACATAAAAATAAATACATATGTACATATATATAAATATACGTTAATAATGAGAACTAGCTACAAGAAAAATCGTCCCTTCGATTTTAAACTAATTAATCTAGTTGAGCCCCATCCGGTGCTTTACAGGCGCTCGGGTCTCTCAACATACGATGCCATGAAGGCCAAAACGGATATCTGGACACAAATAGCAAAGATCATGGGCTGCGATGGTAAGGTCAAAGAGGTCCTTTTGACATCTACATTAAATCCAATTAATTCCCATAGTTGACTTTTGCCTGATGCGCTGGAATAATCTGCACTACCAGTTTCGCAAGGAATTTCGGCGGGCGGACACCAAGGGATCAAGTTGGCCATACCTTGAACGCCTGCGCTTTCTGGCAAATATCCGACCTGGTGGTGCAAAGAGCAAGGCCAACGCTGAAGATTCCACCACCATTCCATCACCAGACAAAACGATGTCGACTCAAGAGAATGAAGGTTCGCCATCGGAAGCACCAATAGTGGTGTGGGAGGAGTACAATGATGGCAGCGGAATTGACCTCGAAAATTCGTATATCATCGAAGAGATCATTGAGGAAGCAAGCGATGAAGTCATGCATGAGGAGATCATATATGAAGATATTGAGGAACATAAAATCAACAGCTCTGAATCTGATAAGCAGCAGATGGTCGGCTCCCCCATTTGCCCAAGAAGCTATTTCTTTAAAATGGACGAGATCCTCGACCAGTTCAAGCAACCCCAGCGACAACGAGCTGAGCGCCGGATCATGGCCTTCCTGCTTAAGTGTCAGCTCCGTTCATTGCACAATCAGCCCGTGGATGATTTGGTTATTTAGTTTATAGGCTTTCACATATTCTCAACTTTAGCCAAAAAAAAGAACAGACTAAACAGAAACACTAAAATTACACCTTGCATTTGTCCAGATCCAGCCAGGCCACCTTTGGCTTTGTGATGAACTGTTCCCGGGGCAAGCTGTCCAGCATGACGGCTTGCTGGCGCACATATTTAACGAGTCTCTCAATCTGCGCATAGTCATCGCAGTTCATCTCGAAGAAGCGTCGCCACAGGGCGCCGGCCAGCACGCGGTCGTCCGACATGATACCCTCGTCGTAGGCAATGAGTGCGGCCTGAAATTGCTCCGATAGCGTCTCGATTTGTTGCCTTGTTCGGGAGGGATTGTGTGCCTGGAAAAGATCAAGGCATTTAGCAGGGATTGAAGAAGTTTATTAGCGCCCGCCAACTCACTCCCAACTTCTTGGCACGGGTGTTTACATCTCCCCACATTGCCTCCACGATGCAGTTGCGCAGAAAGCGTCCATCCTCGCCGGTCTCCGAGCCCTCGGCCATGGAGCGCATCAAGAGCAGCCAGACGTGCAGCTCTGTGACCAGGAACCACGAGTTGAACGTGTTGGGCAGACTGAAGTCACGAAAGAAGGCGACATAGTTGATCTTATCCGCCACGCTCTCATACAACAGATGACTGGTTACCTTGAGGCGCTGCCATTGAAAAACGTAGCCATAGCTATAGGTCTATAATTTAGTGGAGCACGGCACCACTTACCGCCTTTGTGTTGGGTGTGAAGCCCACTTTGTTCATTACTCTCTTAAGAATTCCGTCGTCGGCTGGAGGTTCTGGTGTCGTCGGCTTTGTTTTATCCGCACTGTCCATTACCCTGGCGGACGAGCACAGACGGCAGGACTGAGAATATACGACTGAACAACCTGCAGTCTGTTTAAAAGGCTGACCTACCTGAGGAATAATAAGAGATTCAAGTTATTACCGTGTTTATATAAGACATGCACGGCAGTGCATTCAAATATTGGTTTTGTGAATAAATAAGGTAATTTTACATATATGGTCTTACCAAGTGGATTTTGGATATGCCGGTGGCCAGCCTTGCAACTGCCCGAGTGCACTGCATATTTAAATATCTCTAAAATTGACTAAAACAAATTCGTTTATACAAATTATTAGTGGCACGCGACAACAGCTGGTCGAATGGAGCTGCCAACTTGATTGAAATAAGTCCTCACTTAAGCAGCTGTGTTGGTGAAATGTGGAAGTTGTTGTAATTAAATATTAATCTTAAATTAAATATAAGCAATAGCGAAATATGCTGCGTTTGGGTGGTAAACAAATGTGCCGACAGGGTGCCTGGGTATTTCAACGCGTTTCGTGCCTGCCCTGCAGCAGAAATATTTTACAAACGGCCACGAGAAAGATGACACAACAGCGTTCGCCGGTAGATTTTACCACAAGCATTCGTAAGGATCCCAAGGAAAAGGACAAGATCACAGCTCTTGGCTGGTTCCTGCTGGTGGGGTGACGGTGGCAGTCTTCAAATTATATTGTTTTAACCAATTCCTATTTCTTAGCTCATACCCGCTACCACATTTGGCCTGGGCTGCTGGCAGGTAAAGCGCAAAATCTGGAAGGAGCAGCTAATTAAGGATTTGCACGAGCAGCTAAATGTGAAACCAGTAGATCTCCCCGAAAAGTATACTCCCCATCATTTTCCATGTGTTCCTTGTTTTAAAATTGCGTTCCTTTTAGTCTAAATGATTTGTCCCACATGGAATATCGCCTAGTCAATGTGCGTGGACGGTTCCTTCACGACAAGGAGATGCGCATGGGACCGCGATCACTCATACGTCCCGACGGTGGGGAGACACAGGGTGGTTTATTCTCCCAGCGTGACGCCGGCAATGGTTACTTGATTGTAACTCCTTTTCAGCTGTCGGACAGAGAGTAAGTTGCTCTCAGCGCTATCTTCGATGAATCCTCATCATTTGTACCTCTTTACAGTGACATTGTGCTAATCAATCGTGGCTGGGTGTCCCGCAAGCATGTGGATCCGGAGTCACGCGCCCTGGCGCAGGATCAGTCGGAAGTGGAGCTCACGGCTGTGGTCCGTCAGGGGGAATCGCGTCCTCAGTTCACGCCCGACCACAAGGGCGTAAATATGTACCTGTACCGCGACTTGCCACGCATGTGCGCGGCCACAGGGGCTGCCCCAGTATTCCTGGATGCCATCTACGATCCCCAAGGTATACGGAACGGTCCAATCGGTGGCCAGACCCGCATCACCCTGCGTAACGATCACATGTCGTATTTGGTGACCTGGTTCAGCCTGTCAGCAGCTACCTCGTTCTTGTGGTACCGACAGATCGTCAAGCGATTACCGTTTTAAATGGAATGAAACACAATTATTTTTATTTTTATAAAATTTACATGCTCTCGTGTAAATGCCTTTGATTTTAATGAGCCATATACAGAATGTGCATATGCTGTACGGTTTAATATTGCAACTGCCGATCCTCGAGTGGGGGATCGACGTGGTAATAGGAATACAAATACGGTTCAAGGGAGTGCTTACGCTGGCAACAGGAAGTGTGGACGTATACCTCCTTTTGGGCGTTCCTAGCAGAATACTTTAACTATATAAAAAAACACACACATCTAGATACAGATACAAATACGGTTACGGGATATTTACAAATTAGTCGAGTAAATACTGGAAACTTTAAGTGTAAATGCCATAGTCGTCGTAGCTTCGTCGCCCGCCTCATTCGCCTACAGCTGTGGTACAATGCCCCAGGAGCGGAGCAGGCCGGACCGCTGATACTTCTTGCCAATGGTCTGGACATGGAAACCGATCTGGTGCAGTCGCTCGTGATCCAGGATCTTTCGTCCGTCAAAGATATAGGCCGGCTTCATCATCGACTGGTAGATGCGCTGGAAATCCAAGTCCACGAATTCGTCCCACTCGGTGCAGATGACGAGGGCGTGTGTGGCCCGCACAGCGCTGTACGGATCGCTGTGGATTTGAACCGCCTTCTTGACGTTCTCCGGCGACTCCGTGACGCTTGGGTGCGTCAGGTCATCGATTATCTGCTCGGGCTCCACTTTGGGGTCGTAAATGTCCAGCTTGGCACCCTCCTCTAGCAGCGTCTGGCACACGGTTATGGCCGCCGTTTCCCGAGTATCGCCCGTGTTCTTCTTGAAGGCAAAGCCCAAGATGGCAATCCGCTTGTCCGACACCGTGTTGAACAGGCTCTCGATGATCTTCTGGGAGAAGCGGCGCTTCTGGTAGTCGTTCATGTCGATGACCTGTTGCCAGTAGGTCGCCACCTCCGGCAGATTCAGATTCTCGCAAATGTAGATCAAGTTTAGTATGTCCTTTTGGAAGCAGCTGCCACCGAATCCCACCGATGCCTGCAGGAACTTCGAGCCAATGCGCGAGTCCAGGCCCACGGCCCGAGCCACCTCCGAGACATCGGCCCCGGTGGCCTCGCACACGGCCGACAGCGAGTTGATGCTGGAGATGCGCTGAGCAAGGAAAGCATTCGCCGCCAGTTTGGACAATTCGCTGCTCCAGGTATTCGTTGTGAGGATGTGCTGCTTGGGTATCCAATGCTCGTAGATCCAGGATAGCTTGGCCACGGCTTCATGGCCCTCTGTCGTCTCCTCTCCACCGATCAGCACCCGATCCGCATTCAACAGATCGTTAATGGCCGTTCCCTCCGCAAGGAATTCCGGATTGGACAGGATGTCATAGTGGATGCCCGGCTTCTGGTTTGCCCTGAGTATATGCATAATGCTCTCCGCCGCTCTCACGGGCACCGTGCTCTTTTCCACCACAATCTTGTTAGATTGCGCTATTTCGGCAATCATTCTTGCGGCACTCTCCACATACTTAAGATCCGCTGCGCGTCCTGCATAGATATTGAAATAGTGTTAGATGGTCGGTCGGTGATTGAGTGATTGACGATCAATTTATGTATTACCTTTGCCATTGCCGGAAACTTTTGTGGGCGTATTCACCGATATGAAGATGAGGTCCGCCTCCTTGATGGCCGTTTCAATGTCCGTGGAGAAGAACAGATTCACATTGCGGCACTTCTTTACTACCTCATCCAGACCAGGCTGTGAACAAAATGGAAAGAGAAATGTCATTCAAATATGTAAACATACATATTTGTAACATGTGGTTGGTTGCCCCAGTTCTGTGGCTTATAATCCCAGTCACGATCTATCCCTCCCTGACGTTCTACATTTGGCCGATGATAAGATTAAATACCTTTCTATATATTGTGTTTTGTGTACGTGTTGGTACCTTATCCAAAAATGTATGTGCGTTTCCTAGGAAACACCCATTCTATCAATCAAGTTCTAGTTCTGTTCACGTGCTGAAATGGCCTTTTTATGCGATTAAATTAAAAATTAACAGTGTCTTGCCTCAATGAGATCTCAAGCTTATGTAATCCCCTTTTATTCAGCTTTTTGAAACCAGATTTATATCCATTTTTGTTCTCGTGCGGAATGTTCATTGAACTCGGATACATTTCAGATACAGATTTCTGGGGGAAAGCAGGTGTTAATTTAATAAATGGGAATCTCGGGAATACACAAAATATACAACAATATGTATGTAAAAAGATATTTCTGCTATATTAGGGCCCAAATTTTGTTGGAGAGTGCCGTCTGGAAAGGAAATGAATACAATTTCTTATCAAAAAGTCATTAGTCTCTTCACTGATAAGTTTTTTTTTTGCAATGTTGTGACAAATTAGCAAAATGCGGAAACCAAGGGAATACATGTTCATGTTCATACATATGTACATACATGGCTGAGTTCAAAAAATTTAAAACAATGGGCAGGAACCAATTATGCAAATGCAAAACACTGCAAAAGTAGGATGGATGTTAATGTTGATGTCAATGGGCTGTGTTGGTGTTGACAAGGCCGCATCGATAGTTGCAGCAAGCTTGCACCGCCTCTGTTTATATGGTGGTGACGTTGACGACGATGATGATGCAATCCACGTTAAGTGAATATCAATAAAAGAATAAAGAATTGTGTGCTTTAAACGGACCTTGGCAACATCTTCAGCCCCCACCCATCCTAAACGTTGAGGTTTCACTCACTGCTTGGAATTCATAGTGTAAATATTTTTATTTTTTCAACGATTCCTATGAACGTGTGGTAATTTCTCAGCTAAGACATATACATATATACATTTCCAGTGAATCCGCAGCAGAACCGTGATAGCACCCATTCCCTATTCCCCATTCCATTCCACATTCGTGCTTATCTGCCACTCTCTGGACAAGAGACTTTTGCTTTGGTAGACCCACAGATAAGAAGTTAAGAGCTCTTAGCGAATAGGGGCAGACGGAAGCCGCCAGGGCGGAAATGCGACAGTAAAGCGAGTGACTGCGTGTCTCAGGAATTGGGGACAACCCATGAAATTAATACTTCGAGAAGCTTACAAGAATATGGCTTCTCATCTGTGGAGGAAGCCCTGATAGAATTTACTGGACAGCAGGTCTGCGTAAAATCGATTCCCACGCTTGGTTTCCCGCCTCGTATACTAAACTCATTTCTGCTGCAATCATTTGCCACTTAGCGAATCATTTTCCCATTTATGAATGACTAATGTCTTGGAGAACACACTTGTGCCGCTCTGACCATTGACCTTGTTGTGGGGCCCAAGTGCGCCAAGCACCTGTACGATGGAGTGTGTCCAATGCTCAATGCCAAACACGCACTGGCCGTCCATTCAAATAGAGAGGAGAGTAGAGGGCTATACGAATCGTTTTGTATGGGAACTGGTTTTGGGAGGCGGAGACAGACAGCCACTTGAGCATGAGCGGTATGCGCGGTCAACGACGTCCCTTCTTTTCGATGGATCTCATGCGTTCTGATTGATGAATTGTTTGTTTAGGATTAGGCCATGGAAATTCCCCCCCTTCTCAGCCACAAGGGGCGCGATGAATAAACCATACTGATGCACACACACACATACAAATATACACAAGAATCCGCTATGTAGATACAAGAAACAGGAAGCCGATGAGAAGGGTGGAGAGGAGAGAAATCCACACACTAACCTCGTAAATGGGCAATTTATCCGAATTCCACTGTGCAATGCGCTCCACACTTTTATCCACAAGGGTTATAACAATATCGGGGCACTTGAGTGCCATTACCGCACATGTCGGACCGCCAACATAGCCAGCCCCAATACAGCAAACCTTCATTTTGCCGTGATTTTTTTGCTAATGTCCGTCTCGCACTTATTATCACAACTCTGTGGCGTTATTGTGTCGCGTTGTTTATGGGGGTGCAACGGCGCGCTCAACTGACTGTGGAATAAAGCTTGGAGCTTGGAGCTTGCTTGGCGCGGCAGTGAGCAATAAATGGAAAAACAACCAGTTTCATTACAAACAACCAACAAACAACCAATTACAAATTTATCGTTAAAATATACCGAAATATACCGTCTCATCTTAAAAATATACCGTAAATATACTGACGAATTCAAGTTCTATTATACATATCCCTTGTGTTTGATATTCCGTGGAATATTACTAGCTAGATAGAATCCTCAGCACTGCCCACGTATTTTTATCCGAATAATGAATCAATTTTCTACTTGACTGGTTTATTTTAAATACTTGATTTTATTGGACTTTGCCTAAGAAAACGTTTTAGCCAAAAAGTTAAAACAAAAAAAACGTAAGAGACTTTACGTTCCTATTGCTCAATTTTGATATTCCGTTGAATAATGCTGGCTAACTAAAACCCTCAGCCCTGCCCACATAGTTTTATCCTATTGATGAATACATTTTCTACAAGATTAACTAAATTGAAGTACTCCCATTTATTTTATTTTGACTAAAACAAGGTTTATGCAAAAAAGTTCAACAAGAAAACAGTGGCAACGTAAGTTGAATGTCACGTCATTTCTTACTGGTAGCTTGTCAATCGGAGTATGGGCATTTGTATACCCTATTTTGTTAATTTCATATGAATATACTGGTTTTCTAAACTTCTTTTTAAAACGTTATTAATAAAGACCTTTTCTCAGATTGATATGTTTTAGACAAATTCATGCATATGATGAGTGTCTTGTATATGTATATATAACTCGATCCCGATACCCATTCTTGATCTCTGTAAGAAGACAATAAGCTGAAAAATATCGTTGAAATAGCTTTAAAACACAGACTGACTAATTTCTGAATATATTGGAGCTTGAGAAGACGAATACATGTTCTTTGGCTCGAAGAGAACGACTGAATTTATTTTGCATTGCAGAATGATAACTTAACTAAACAAATAATAATGAACGCTCAACATTTCCTCACATCGGGGACAATCTTGCACTCGGCAAAGGGGTCAGAAGCCTTCTTCTCTTTCTGGGCGCAGGGAGGACACTCGACACAGCAGATATCGTCCTTCGGCGTCGCCTTCAGAAGACCATCGATGTTTTCCCCCTTTGCCTGTACCTTTGAGCCCGAGTCGACGCGTGATTGGACATCGCTGAGTTTGCCCTTCGATGTCGTCTTCGGCAAGGTGTAGGTTGGGGCATCTGGCGGATTTGGTCTGCCCCAGAAGTCTTGGGGCACGTCCCAAATAATGAGCGAACCGTCTGTGCTGCCGGTCACGAACATCTTTAGGCAAGGACTGTACGCGGCGCTGATCACGGAAGAAGCATGCTCTGATCCAACGCCCACCACGTCGCCCTTGTTGTAGTCCCAGAGCTTTACCTGCAGATCACTGCCGACGCTTATAAAGTAGTCGCCGGTATCGTTGATCGAGATGCAGTTGACCGACGACTTCTTCGAGGCGGTCAGCTCGCGGATCAGAGCTCCGTTGTACACCATCCAATAGATTATCCTGCCATCCGAGCCACAGGTGAGTACCTGGACCCCAGTCGGGAAATATGAGGCGCACATGAACTGTGTGTTGGCAGTCACCACCTGTTTGCGGGTCATGCGGCTGCAAAAGGAGAAGCACACATCAATAGAGGATCTCAAAATATACCGGCGACCTCACTCACTTGATGTCCCAGATGACGCAGGAGCCGTCGGTGCAGGCCGAGATGACCTCTGTGCCCAGATGATTGATGTCCAGAGATGTGATAGGACCCGAGTGATCTTTTAGCACTCCCAGTAGCGACTGGCGATACGGATCTATCTTCCATACACGCACCTGACCCTCGATGCCTCCAGTGACAATGAGGCGCCCTGTGGAGGACACTGCCAGGGCACTGCAGCCTGCAATAGAGGATTTTGATCATGTTCAGCAGGGAGAAGCCAACCAGCCAAACCTTACCCTTGTTGTGTGCATTGGGAATGGCATATATGAGTCGTCCTGTGATGGGTGTAAAGGCGCGTATGATGCCATCGTTCCAGACCGACACAATGCTGGTGCCATCGTGGGTGAAGCGCACAGCGGCGCAGTTGAAGTTGTAGACCATGATGCGCAGCAGCTCCTGCTTGCGGCCCGACGACCAAATGCGAATGCATTCTTTGCCCGAGGTGGCAAAGACGGCAGCATATGCCCTGAAAAGAAGCGCTGTAAGGAAAACGACACGAACCCTTGGATGCTCGAACTCACTTGGGGAATGTGATGCAGTAAACGGATTTGGTGTGGCATGTGCGCAGTAGTTTAAGCTTCCATGTGGTAATGGTCAGCCCGTAAATCTCGTTTGTGTCTGTGCAAATGTAAAACAAATCTTGGGTGGAGCGGACAAAGGAAGAGATTCGTCCGGAAACGCGAGTCGTCTTCAGCACGCGCAGATATGGCCAGGTGGGTCCTGGGTAATCCCGAAAATTGATCAGCGGCACATCGGTACGCTCCTCGACGAGCTCCACATCGCCATTGCCGGCTCCGATTAGGAGCCGACTCTCGTCCACAATATACAGAGCACGAACACCATTCACATAGCGATTGCAGTCCCGTCCCGACGGCTTGCGGGCATTGTGGGTGCCAAAGGCACCCAAGATACCGCTGGTGGTGCCCGGCCTGGTGACATTGTCACGGTCACAGCAATTGAGCGTGATCTTCACTATATCCCCGGTGCCCGTGCCCAAGTAGGCGATCTGGTCGTTCTTGCTGATGCGTACACAGTAGAAGACGCGCGTCTTGCTGGCCATGTGCACGTCCTGGACGTAGAGCTTCTTCTGCTCGCGCACAATGCTCCACAGACGCAGATGGCGATCTCCAGCCGTCAAAAAGAAGAATGGATTATTGTGCATGGGGCGAACACCCAGAGCATTCCCAGAGATGGCTCGGGAAGCTGGCTGCCGGCAAATTGGGGAGCTGAAAACAAAAAAAGTATCCACTTTCAAGAATCTCTAGATATACCAGGCCATCATTAACTTACAATGATTCCATGTCAAAGACAATCACGGAGCCATCATCAACGCCACCGATTGATACCACAAATCGATCCTCGGCTGTGAAGCATATAGCCTGGACCTTCACCTTGTGCAGGTCGTGACGCGCTATCTCCTTGCGTTGATGGTAATCCCATATGATCACGTATCCGCGAAACCCCATATGATTTATTTGCCCCGATGCTATGTACTTGCCACTTTTGCTAAGATCCAGGCACGATATGGTGTTGCTGTGTCCTGGTATGAACTCTTGCGAGTTCTTTTTGTGATTGGCAATGCCGATTTTATTGCCCAATGCGAATATAATATCGCCTGTTGTTGAGTGCTGACGCACGCCATTCTCAACCTTTCCGTTAATTCCGAAAATGGCACGCGGCTTTAGCTGCTGGCATTGCCCGGGTGGCTCCATAATGCTTGTATCACAAAATATATTTACCAAATAATACTTCTAGTATTGGGTTTGACTATATTGTTTGACTATAAACTGCTTTGTCAGCCGGCTCAGGGATTGTTAAGTTTTCAAAATATACATTCAAATGACAACCGTTGCCTGGAAGCCGTTGCTCATTGAGTTGTCTCCAAACAATGCAAAAACTAGTCAGTCTCTGTTAAGGAATCGGGATCGAGTTACATATGTATGTATATGTACGTACATACATATGTATGTACATATATGCAGAAGAGTATCCATATCCACATGAGAAAGGTCGTTTTCTTAAAGCAGCTTGGAAAACATAATTGTCATATTAATTAAAGGAAATAGGGTATACAAATCATATTCATAGCTATACCGGTTGACCAGCAACAATACAGTAGAATTCCGAACACACTTACGTTGTATGCTTTTATTTTTTGTTGACCTTTTTTGTTTTAACCTTGTTTTGAACAAAATTAAATAAAGTTGAGTATTTTAAATTAGTCAATATTGTAGAAAATTTATGCATCAATCGGATAAAATTGTTTTTTCAGTACTGAGAGTCCTAGCTAGCGTGTAATATTAAACCGAATATAAAAATCGAGTGATATGATTTTAGGTCATGGACAGAGAGCGATTGGCCACTTGTCGACCAGGGTAATTAAATATTCCCACGAAAAAAATATGAAACTTGCATAATTTTACCCCAGTTTAGATAAAAGATATCGGGTCCATATGACTTGTAAGTAAAGAGATAAGATGGATTTACAGAAAGAATTTACATACAGTATGATTTTCATGGTTTAACTGAAGCTTTGCATATGTTTAAATATAGGGGAGTTCAGTGGGTTAAGTTCCCCTCCTCCCTCTGACGGTAATTAAGAAAGTGCCGGTAAAGAAGAATAAAGAATATAGAGGGTATAAACGGTACGTACACTATATACATACTATATATAGAGGGGAGCAATACTGATTCTGATTTTTGTCAGTTCGGCGAGCGCCGCGGCAAACGGTACACGGCACTTGAATCTCAAGTTAATCGAACAAATCAATCAACCGCACTTGACCTAAGCAAAAACAAAGGAGACTTTGAAATGTTCCGATTTGTGGGCGTACTTCAGCCCCTGGGATTGGGGCTGCTGCTGTTCTTCCTCTGCCTAATCGTGCAGAGCTCTGCGCTTGGCTTTCGCCGCGGGAGGCTAGTGAATGGATTCATGGGCGATCCCAGCAAGATTCCCACACTGCAGCGATCTTTGGACTCGGAGGATTTGTGGTTCGAGCAGCGTCTGGATCATTTCCAGGCGCGAAACACTAGGACCTGGCAGCAGCGCTACTTTGTGAATGCCGATTACTACAGGAATGACAGCACGGCCCCCATTTTCCTTATGATTGGCGGCGAGGGCGAGGCCTCGGCAAAGTGGATGCGCGAGGGCGCCTGGGTGCACTACGCCGAGCACTTTGATGCCCTGTGCATCCAGCTGGAGCATCGCTTCTACGGCAAGAGTCACCCGACCAGGGATTTGTCCACCGCCAATCTGGCGTTCCTCAGCTCGGAGCAGGCCCTGGCCGATTTGGCCAACTTTGTGGCTGCCATGAAGGTGAAGTACAACTTGGCCGAGACCCAGAAATGGGTTGCCTTTGGCGGTTCCTATCCGGGCTCGCTTGCGGCTTGGGCGCGGGAGAAGTATCCCCATCTCATCTATGGTTCGATCAGCACCAGTGGTCCCCTGCTGGCGGAGGTCGACTTCAGGGAGTACTTTGAGGTGGTAAAGGCCTCTCTGGCTACCTACAATCCGGACTGTGTGGAGGCGGTGACCCGGAGCTTTACCCAGGTGGAGATACTGCTAAAGCATATGATCGGACAGCGAAATCTGGATGAAAAATTCAAGTCGGTATCGAAATGGTTGTGAAAAACTAACGCTATCCTGCTTATATTCCTTAGAACCTGCACACCCATCAAGGACTCTATTGAGAACCAATTGGATATTGCCAGTCTCTTTGAGAATCTGGCTGGAAACTTTGCTGGCGTCGTCCAGTACAACAAGGACAACAGTCCACATGCCACGATAACCATTGATGAGGTATGTTTATCCCCCAAAAAGGCTTCTCCATGAAAATATTTAATATATTATATCCTTTAGATCTGCGATGTCATGTTAAACATGACCAGTGGACCGCCTGTGACTCGACTGGGTGTGGTCAATGACATGCTGTTGAAGCAATCGAATGCCACATGTCTCGACTACAAGTACGATAAGATGGTTAGCGACATGCGGAACGCCTCGTGGGACTCGGAGGCAGCCAAGGGAATGCGTCAGTGGACGTATCAGACCTGCAACGAGTTCGGTTTCTATCAGACATCTGAAAACAAAACGGACACATTTGGCGACCGGTTTGGCGTGGACTTTTTCATACGCCAGTGCATGGATGTGTTCTCCAACAGCATGGATGCCAGGTATCTGCAGAACGTGGTGTCGCAGACCAACAAGCATTACGGTGCCCTCAAGCCGGAGACTACCAATGTGCTGTATGTACATGGTTCCATTGATCCCTGGCATGCCCTGGGCCTGGTCAAGTCCTCAAATGCAGCCACGCCAACCATTTTCATAGAAGGTACTATTATTGGAAAGTCCCCAAAAGAGTTTATGATCTAATGCAATTGGAATTTCATTGTAGGAACTGCACACTGTGCCAACATGTACGAGCCGACGAAAACCGATCCCCCACAGCTGGTGGCAGCACGCAATAAGATTGTGAAATACCTGGCCAAATTACTAGAAGGCTACACCACAAACTGAAACAAAATCTCCCAGAAAAAGTACAGTTAGAATAGCAGAAACATGTGCCTGCAGTAATTGTAGATTCTCAGAATGATGTATATTTGTAATCAAATTATATCTACATATGCATCATTACAAAAGTTTGAGGGTTTATATTTAATCCTTTTTGGCCTGTTGCATCTTCTCGTGGAACTTCTTCCAGTACGCCTTCACAGTGGGGTTTTCGATTACGTTTTTCTCAACGAAGCTGATGGCCCAAGTGACAGCCAAGAAGCTGAGGTCATAGAGAAAGGCCACAATGCGCAAGAAGTACTTCTTCAGCTGCTCCTTGGAGGGCAGCTCTCCCAATTGATTCTTGACACGCTCAGTTGCCTCCTCGACGCTGCCACTTTTGGGGTTTTCAGCAGCCGATTTCTTCTCAATATTTTTCTCCGGAACAGCGAATTCTCCTTGGCCGCGATTTTCTTGGTCGCACAGTTCTGTTTTGCCCGTATTTTTCTGGACGGATGCAAAGATTTCGTCGAGTTTGTTTAGTGGGCCTTCCTCGTTGCCTTTATCCTGGGGACCGTCATAGCTTTTGCTAACATTTTTCAAGCGCTTAATGAGCGCTTCCACGTTATCTTTTTGCGGGGGGTTGTCCCCACTCGCCTTTACGCCCATTAGAGTCGATGTTTCGCCCAACTCGGAAGCTCCGCCTGCTGGGGTCTTAACCCCAAAATCGGTACCAATATTGGGCATGGCAAAACCAGTCGGTGGCTTCTTGTTCTTGTCATCATCCCCTCCACCACCGCTGCTAAAGCGATAGATCGGCACGCAGCCACGGAATGGGGCCCCGTCGAAACACTTGAGGGGCAGAACCACCAGCGTTGAGTAATCTTTGGAAATCGGGCAATGAGTTGCAATAAATTTAGTGCTGCGGCGTTTGGACTTACCACAAGGCTTCACAAGACGGCCAGCGAGCAGGGCCCGATTGATTCCACCCTTTTGGGTAGCCACTAGAGTTGCGCGCAGCATTTTAAATTTTTTGAGTAACGAAAAACGTAGTCTTTACACGAAAAAATAATTTTCAAGTGAAGAAAAACGAGAAGTTCACACGAATGACAAGCAAAAATCAAGCCAAAAAGAATGAAAACTCAACTTCAACACAGGAATCCATTTGCAATTTGTCGAATGGGTAGCACTGCTCTTAAGGTGAGTTTGTAGAATAGGCAGCACTGTCACAGTATGTTAACTATTGGGGTGCATTCGTTGAATTTTGCTGGAAAGTTTTGCCTGTGGCCATACCTTTTTTTACCTTGCCGGCAAAACATTTTCCAGCTGAATATGGCCGAAGAAAAATTTGGACCAAAAACAGCCTGAAAGCCTCAAATCGTTTGAGCTAGTACCAGAGTTGGATATTTCCCAGATACCTTTTCCTGTATAGAGAATCGAGATTGGTCACCATAATGGAGAGCATTATTTATTTGTCTTTTATTTAGGCTATTAATAAGCATATTAGTAAGTTTACTAGTTACATTTAGCGGCTTACTAGCGATCGCACACGAATTTAGGCCTTTACTCACCCTAATTATCGCCTGTCAATGCGGTGAAGCAAATTGCACTGCCCAAAGAAGCGCCATAAAAGTGCCCGTTTGGGCAACGCAATTATTGTTGGGAGGCTAGAGGTTAAATCCTAGCTTAAGCCCCAAAGAAAATCGATTGAATTCAGTGGGGGGATCTACAGAACTGATCGGCAGACTTTATGGCGATCGATCGCCCGTACTTTACACTTGTTAAATTACAGTTTAAATTAGTTAGCTTATGCGTGCAATTTATAAAAAAAAAACTGTTAACTAACTAACTAACAAACTTTAACTGTTTGTTACTTGTTCTGGCAACTAAATCGGTTATTAAAATTATATGTATGAAAATATATATAGCATGTGTAAAGCGTAGAGTATACATTTACGTATATATAGATCATATACATATGTATATATGTAGTATATATTTAGTTCTTAACATGTAATGGAAATGTTTTGCGCGTTTTCCTTTAATACTACTACGACGCAAGCTAAATGGTGAATCCATCCTCATCCTCTCCCTAGAATAAGCCAATTTGCTTCAGATTGTTCTTTATGATCACATCGGTGACGGCATCAAAGACAAACTTCACATTGTTGGTGTCAGTGGCGCAGGTCAGATGCGTGTATATCTCCTTTTGGTCTTTTCGCTTGTTGAGATTCTCAAACTTCATGCGTATATAGTTGGCAGCCTCCTCAAAAGTGTTGGTACCTGTAAAATATCCATGAATTAGACACCTTCGATGACTTTGATATGCACAATCATTTACCTGAATACTCTGGGAAGCATATCGTCAAAGGAGATCGCTTTATCTTCTCCTCAAACAGATCCTTTTTGTTGAGGAACAGTATAATAGAGGTTTCCACAAACCACTTTGAGTTGCAGATGGAATCAAACAGTTTCAGGGACTCGATCATGCGATTCATTTCCTCATCCTCGGCCAGAACTAGATCGTAGCCTATGAATCAATAAAGAAACCAATTAAAATTTGTAGCGAATAGTTCTCCAAGGAAACCTACCAGATAGCGCCACACAAAATATAATGGCCGTGACGCCCTCAAAGCAATGAATCCACTTCTTGCGCTCCGATCGCTGGCCGCCCACATCAAACAGTCTGTAAAAGGGGAAGCATTATATTTCAATAAGAATTCTAAGGGATCAAGAGGGGGTCTTGACACTCACTTGAAATGCAGTTGCTTGCAGGAGAAATGCGTCTCAATGATGCCCGTGGTCTTTACACGCGTGCGCAGGACATCCTGCTGGGTGGGAATGTAGTTGGGCTGCGCAATGCGATCCAGGGAGTTCAGGTAATATCCCGCCGAGTCGTTCAGCTGGTACTCGCGCGAGCGAGCAAACGACTGCTGCACCCCGCCGTCCGACCAGAGTTTCTTCATCAGCAGAACAATCTCCGGCAGGAGGATGCCCTCATCGGCGGCCGAGGCATGTGTGAAGAACTGGCGGGCAATGTCAGTCTTGCCCTGATCGGCAAACTCAATCTTTAGCCTGCCCATGGCCCGGATGATAACCATCAGGCTCTGTACAGTGTTGCTGTAAACAACGCGGCGGTATTCCTCGCATTCCTCCTGAGAGTAGCCTGTCTCGTGTATGATCTTCATTTGCTTCACTATCGTGGACTTTCCCGACTCTCCAGCTCCTGCAAATCAAATAGAAAACATACAAATTAGAAACATGGGTTCAATTTGAGTGAGCTCATGCAAATCTCCAGCCCTCCAGTGGGTGTGAGCCCTCACATTCGCCAACAATTGAGCGCGTAAAACTGAATGAATCAATGAATGTGCGGCAATAGCAATCAGTAGGGGTAAAGAGGCAGGCAGCATCGAATGAGTCGAGTTTTATGAATGAATGGAGCGCTGTGGAACGAAGCCGCAAAAGCGGTTCAATTGGCAGCGGGTTCAAGAGGCCAAAAAGCTCGCTTAATTGCGCCGGTCATGTTGAAATAAATGAATGAGTAGCTGCTCCTCCTCTAGCTATATGTAGAGTGATATAAGTATGTAGATATGTGTAACCAGCTTGATCTATTCTTTACGTCTCTAAAACTTTGTATTATACTTTTTCTTCACGGTCTTAAGTTCTCCCTTCAATCGGTTTCTAAGTGGCGAGCCCTGAAGTTCAATGAACCCTGGATCAGCGATTCTTGAAAGTTATCAAAAGTGCGCTTTGGGGCCATAAAATTTATATATTTATTATATTTATATATCGCAAATTAGCAAGCACAGAACATGATATTTTATAATTTTGCTGACTACAGGCACAAGTTAGTGGATCGCTATCGATGGATAAACAATAATTTAATCATATTACGTGTCTTCTAGCTTCCCTTTTCCATGGAATTATTGTGAGAAATAAAAACATGCAAAAATAGCACTCTGGTACCGGTCTAGGGGTTTTTCTCTTTCAGTTTCAGTTATCAAACGAGATACATATGTATATATTTATGTACATATGTACCTATCCGATGTTGGGGCATTGCTGCTGCTGCAACACAATGGCGCATTAAGAAAGCTTTTTGTCTCTATAGTGTTTTTTTTCGTGAGTGCCGTTTTTCTGCAATGTGGGGCTCCCAGAGATACATTGATGGTTAGGTAAGCGTCAGACTGTACTTTCACTTTTTTCTTTTCTTTGCAGGGCAGGGCTGTGGCAGTACTTGCAGTTTATGATTATTTTTTATATCTTTGCAAATAAATCATATACATAGTTGATTTTTAATTTAAGCCAATCCCAACAATGCGCACTAATGTTGCCATAAAGAAAAATGTCGTCAAATGCGAAATTATGGACCAAATTATGGGGTTCCAAAAATACATAGGTAGCAAAAGAGAGCGAGCGAGCGAGAGAGAGAGAGAGAGAGAGACAGACAGATACACCGATAATGACCGAGAAAACGGTAGATGAAGACCCTTGCCAATCTGCATACGAATGGTAGGCATTAGTAAATGTTCAAACTTGCCACCGAATGAAAAACGAACCAAAAACCACAAAAACGAACAGCGAAAAAAGGTCAAATTAATAATTCTAACAACAAAATCTGCACAAGTGTGAGTGTGTGTAATTGTGCGTGCGGCTGCGTATTCATTTATCAATGCACCGTTAACTGTGCCAAACCATAGGGAAACAGAGAGAGAGAGAGAGAGAAAAAGAGAGACGCACACAAAGATCAAACACAGAGAGCAGGCAAAACGAAAGAGAGAAGAATGAGAGAGCTATAGCAACGGCGGTTAGCACAAAGCGTTCGTAAGCCTCATTTACAACCTCATTATCGTCCGCCATGATGATCATAATCAAACGGTATTATAATGAGTCTCTCCCCAGGAGAACCTTCTTCGAAATATTCATTTTACGAATAGAACGGAACGACGAATAGAATGGTGACTAAAACCCCTGGCGAAAAGATGGAAAAAATCATACGGAAAGAAGTGCTTTGCGCCATGAGTAATCGTGTTAAATGGCGCCTGAACTCAGTCTCTCTTATCGAAGGGGGTGAGCAGACTCGTAAAGAGGAAAGGGAAATGTGTTAATCAGCGGGGAGCTTGAAATTTTCAGATAGTTGGGGAGCCACAATTTAAAAGTAAACAATTAAAACAGATGAAATAGAGCCATAAAACGGAAACGCCAGCCCAACAACTTCCACGCAAATCTTTCTTATCATTGAATTTCATTTTATTTTCTTTTTATAATTTAAAGTTCCGTCAATTATTGAACTCGAATCTGACGTAAAAGGTCGTTTAGCGATAATTTTGATAAGCGTAATGAATACGAGGGTGTGCAGGGGCATAAACATATTGATACCGTACAAATATGTACATAGAAGTGTGTTTGTTATAGTATATAAATTCTTAAAAAAATATTGTTGATTAAATTGCTATGTTGATAGTCTGTTGGTTTGGATGGTTTTCTGGTATTGGTGGGGCATACGACGGGCGCATCATGTGCTTGAATTTTTGTTGTTGTTGCCTTCTTCGTATTCTTTTTCGGCCAGATATTGTATGTGTGACCTATATAAGAGTCTTACTCATGCCCCAAATGCGGCTTAAGCACGCTCTCCCTCTCTCGCGCCTTTTCTCTTTTTAAAGTAAAGGCAAATATCGTGAAAAATACAATAACAATTGACATTCTTTTCCCCTACAACATGAAATATTTTCGTGAGAGAAAATAACAAATTTTACAATAAGAAAAGAGAGGGAGAGTGACAATAAATTGAGTGAGGGGTACTTCAACTGTTGTTTGGCCAGACACTCCCCGCATAACAATAGTAAGCGTTTTTATTAAATCTACACAATAAACGCAATGTTGAGGGCTGCCAATTCCAATTCTCAATCCCCATCCCCATCCTATTTCCAGTTCAGTTTCAATCCCATGTCACAACCGCCTTTGCCATTGCAGCTGCATTTGGTGGCGGGGCCATTTATTTGCGCTAATATCGTTCACCCCACTTTAAATGTCAGTACAAATGAAAAAGCAACAACATCACCAGCAGCACAGCAGAGCCCCCTCCTGGCCAATTAGTCTGCTTCCAGCATGTTTTGCGTGTGTGTTGTGTCTGTGTGCTCGAGAGTGGGAGAAAGAGTCTGTGCAAAGGAGAGAGTGTGTGACAGCCAACGACAAGTTTATTAATATAAGGTGAGGAGTTCCAAATCCTCCCCCTCTTTGTGCCGACAACTCAAGCAAAATACGCGATCATCCTGAAAGCGCTGCCGCACCCTACATAAATATACCTTGGTCAAAGAGCGAGAGAGAGAAAGAGAGCGCAAGCGCAGCAGCAACAACACCGACCACAAACACATCGAAAAGATCACAGTATTTTCTGTTTATAAAGAAAATTCCCTAAGAAGTTTTCCCAGCTCCCTGGAAAGGCAAAGCAAACAACCCACACAGCTACAATAAAACCAGCAACAATTGTTAGGCAGAAAAATGCAAGTGGTGCAAGGTGTTTTCTTGTTGCCCATAAATAAACCAGCACTGGCTGCAACGCTCTGCAACAGCGTTTGTGTTTTTTTGTTCGAAAAACTGAAAATGGTAGCAGGAGAGGGGATGAAAATATCGTAAAAAGATGTCGGAAACGCCTAAATTTCCGCACGTTTTCCAAAACCGGTTCCCACAAATATTCGACTGCTTTCCACAAGCAATTTTATGTCGCCCAGTGTTTTCGATATCGTTCGAGAGCACACAAATATATCACATATATTAGCCTTACCGCCTCCCTCCGACATTCCTGACCAAGCAGATGACTTAGTCATCATCATCTTGGGAGACGCTTCATTAGCAAATCAGCAGCAGGCGGGAAAAGTGCAACAAGATTGTTGCAGGGCCTGGAAAAAAGTCATTCCATTGTTTTCCAAAGTGCATGGCAATGAAAATGAAAAGTACGAGCTCTCACACAATGGCGTATATCTAGCGGAGTGTGTGGAAATTTAATTGCAGAAGGTTAAGACGAGAGCCGCGGCATTTCATTTCAGTGCATCAGAGAGTGTCAGTTTTCGAAGGGGTAGGGGTGTCGAACGCGCCGCAGAGGTCGGGTCAAATGCGATACGATGATGACGCCGCAGCGCTTCAATGGAACGAAACCTCAGGCTAACGATGCAAGTGCCAGGCCTCGACGCGCCACTATCAACCATCTACCGCAGATCGAAAGAGCCACAAACATGTTTCGGTTGCCATTTCGATGGCACAGCGCCCCACTTGTTGGAGCCAAGTGCGTGCCGGCGACGATGAAAATTGAGAATCGAGTATCGCAGTCGCTCCGCTCCACTCCGCTCCGACATTTGGTTTCAATTTACGTTCTATTCCCTTATCTGCAAACGAATTATTAGACATGTGCATTGCATAATGGCCACATTTCAAACATACACAAAGGGGAAATCTGTTGAGCAGACACATGGAGTCTGGGTTTTCCCATATCCTGGGTCCAAAACTCACCACAGCCAAAAAAAAAAAACCCACCCATGTCCTCAGGCAGTCTGACAAAAACCCGGCCAAGCCTCAGACCAAACATTTTAAAATTAATTGCATTTTCAGAATACTGAGTAACAAATTATTTGGTAAAGGGGAAATAACACATTAGAGACGCACCCAAAAGCAGCAGTTTCACCTCCGATGCGGCACGTTCACCCTCCGCTCGCAGCGCCCGATCGATGTTCTTCGAACGTTCGATGGCTTCTTTATCTCGTGCTGTACTCACGGCACAACCCATTTTCTTCAAATTATCGCACTTTGGTCGTTAATCCAGAGGTTGGCAACTATTTCACTGTAATTTTTCGTATTTTCAGTTTTCACAAGCGTTTTCGGCACTTTTAATTGAGCGCAGATGCGGCTGCGCGTCGGCTGTACACTTTTTTGTTTCCTTCTCCTTCTTTCCAACACACACAAACGCACACTTGGACAGAAGCGTACGCATACACAAAGGGGCGACGCAGGCGTAGCGGCTCTATCAATTTCAATTTTCAATATAGTACAATTTAATGCTAGGGCGGCACTTACGCCGTTTACTTCTTTGTATTTAATTTTCGCTAATCCGCCGATCGGTTTGCTTAAAAAAAAACGCTGAAGAATGAATCATTTAACGACCAGTGTGATCATCGACTTATCGATCAAATATACCGTCCGAACCCCAGAAACATACCAAAATATACCGTCTTATTTTAAAAATATACCATAAATATACTGACGCGTTCAAGCTCTATTATACATATTCCTCGTTTTCGATATTCCGTGCAATATAACTAACTAAATAGAACCCACAGCTCTGCCCACATTATTTTATCCGATTGATGAATCAATTTCCTACTTGACTGGTTTATTTTAAATACTTGTTTTTATTGAATTTTGCATAAAAAAATGTTTTAGCGAAAAAGTTAAAACAAAACGAGGGGGAACGTTGTGAGTTGCTGCGGACACCGCAACTCTACAGTTATACCCGATACTAAGTCAGTATGGCTCTCCTCCGGCAGACGCCGCTAATATTAAACGACAAGACAAAGAGTGCGTGCGAGAGAGACAGAAAATCAGTCTGAGCGTGACGTCGGGCGCTGCGTAGCCAGTGCAAATTGATTTGTTTCCTTTCGCTATAAAAATGATCTGATCTGATCCAGATTCAGCAATCTGATAGATATGGTCGTTATCTATGATTCTGCGTTTTTAGTTTTCTCAAATCTGCAATATTGTGGATGCAACAGATTTTCGTCCTTTGTGTGGGCGGAAGCGGGTGGGGCGAAATTTTGAGATATACGTTTTATAGTGAGATCTAACAGAAGTGCGGATACCAAATTTGGTTACTCTAGCTTTAATAGTCTCTGAGATTTGTGAATATCCCCAGATTTGCATTCTTTGCGGGGGCGGAAGGGGGTGTGGCGAAATTTTGAAACAAACTCGTCTCGGTCCGATATATTAGGAGTGTGGATACCAAATTTGGTTGCTCTAGCTTTTATAGTCTCTGAGATCTAGGCGCTAATGTTTTACTCTAAACAAAGCCGCCTATGCTACGTGTGTGTTAGAGAGAGACAGGGCGAGAAAAAATGAAATTGTTTTCTTGATGCTGACTATAATAATAATACGATCCAATTCAGATTCCGCAGTCTAAAAGATATGGTCATTCTCTACGATTCTGCGTTTTTGGTTTTCTCGTATCTTTAAAATTGTGGATGCCACAGATTTTCGCCCTTTGTGGGGGCGGAAGTGGGCGGGGCAAAGTTTTGAAATATTTTTGTAGCAGTAACATATAACAGAAGTCTGGATCCAAAACATCGTTGCTCTGGCTCTTATAGTCTTTGAGCATTAGGAGCTGAAGGGGACGGACAGACGGACAGACGGACGGACGGACAGACGGACAGACGGACGGACGGACAGACGGACAGACAGACATGGCTCAATCGACTCGGCTATTGATGCTGATCAAGAATATATATACTTTATGGGGTCGGAAACGATTCCTTCTGGACGTTACACACATCCACTTTTACCACAAATCTAATATACCCCAATACTCATTTTGAGTATCGGGTATAAAAATACCTAAGAGACTTATCGTTCTTACTGCTTAATTTTGATATTCCGCTACAAGATTAACTCAATTGAAGTACTCCCATTTATTTTATTTTGACTAAAACAAGGTTTACGCAAGGTTTTCTTACTGGTAGCTTGTCAATCGGAGTATGGGCATTTGTATACCCTATTTTGTTAATTTTATATGAATATACTGGTTTTCTAAACTTCTTTTTAAAACGTTATTAATAAAGATCTTTTCTCAGATTGATATGTTTTAGACAAATTCATGCATATGATGAGTGTCTTGTATATGTATATATAACTCGATCCCGATACCCATTCTTGATCTCTGTAAGAAGACAATAAGCCGCAAAATATCGTTGGAATAGCGTTAAAACACAGACTGACTAGTTTCTGGATATATTGGAGCTTGAGATGATACACATTTTCTCAATTCTATCATATCCATCTCCCCAGGGTATGCGGAATGTTTTCCACGTTTTCTAGGCTCATGAGTCTGGCTGCAATTGAATGTTGCCGCAATTTTTGAGAATTTAAGAATGACTATGAAAATCGCCATAAATGCATTTCAAACTTGCTGCAGCATTATGTTTCGCAATGCATTTTCGACGAGTTTCATTGGCCGATAGCAAAAATCGCGTCGTTTCCGTTTCAAAACCGTTTCAGTTACCAAAAAATGAAGTTTAATTTACCGATATACCGTAAGTATACCGTCTGCTCAATTTTGACGTAAGAAAATACCAAAAAGTATTCACAATACCGTAAACGATTACCCTGCCCGTTTTGGAGACCAAACGCCGATTTTGCCTTCAAGGTATGTTGTCCTCACACGCGAGGTGAGGTTCGTAGGAAACTTGCATCTTGCCTCTGCGGTTTATGCTTGTTGTCCATACCCTTTTTTATGGCCCATTCAAAATTACGAATCATTTTTTCGTTGCACGAGAGGGCAACAGTGTAACCGTCTGACCCTTAGAAATACCGGAAAAATATCGATGTAAAACGAACCTAGCCCACTTAAACCTCCTTGTATTAAAAAGTGTTACAACTTGAGCTAAGCCGTTAATAATTATTCTTCTAGATCCATCCTAAACTGATATCTTTTCGTGGAGGGTATTAAAATACCCATTCTCCATGATCATAGGTCACACTCCTTGAATTTGATATTCTGATTGACAAGGATAAGTGAAATAAGTAGTGCACGGAACTACGTTTTGAGCGGTCACCCTGTCTTGAATCACTTAAGCGATTTTAATTAGATTTAAAATATACCGAAATATACCGTGTCACTTTAAAATATACTGATGTAAAAATTAAGTGTCATATACATCGCTGAGGGCGGAGTGTGACCAAATGTGCATGCTCTACGGTTGCACAGTTTTGTGTTACTTAACATTAAAATCTGTTAAGAATTCAAATGAAAAGATGAAAGGCGTAGAAAGGCACTGCAAAATTGGGTAAATTAGCATGTCTTTATCTCTGTATAAATTAATAAAATTTGTAGTAGTTGTAGAGTAGTAAAATGAGTATAAAGCTAATACATTATAATATCCATATAATAGACTTTCATTCGACAGACCTAATAAAGTTTGTTTCCCATCTGATTACTGGCTTGCCTTGCCTCCTCATTACATAAACATAAAACTATTTGATTACAAGTAGTTGCTGTTTTTTAGGGAAGAGTTTTCTTAAAATAGTCTTTATGCTTTTTGCGCGTTTTTGTTTAAACTAATAAAATAATGGAGAGAAATAATAATATGGAAAGTTTATTAATTAATTTATTTCAGATATTGTTTTTTTTTTTGTTTCAACGATCAAATAATTGAGAATAATAATAATTTGGAGAATTTATTTTATAATTTATTTCAGATATTATGCTGCGCAGCGTGGACTGACTGATGAGCAAGTGCTAAACGGGACGGGACCCCTACACAAGGGATTTAGACAAAGGACACGTGAATCTAATGTAGAAATTGAAATATTATAAGAATGAGCCGTTGTTTTCATAAAAAATTTTAATTTCAAAGAGATTTTATTTGTGTAACCGTAGAGCATTCACACCTGAACACTCACTGCTCATAGCGAAGTGTAGGATACTTTTGGTCGACCAAATATTTCGTCGATCTGAGAACTAGGCTTACAATTTCGTATATACTCGTATGTAATATATTTGCCGGATTGCCGAATCTAGATCAGATCGGGTCATTATTATAACCAGAAGGCAAAAATTAAACTGCAGTGGCTATGCAACCCCCTTTCATGCGCTTACTCACTCGCTCTATCTCTCACACACTCTTTCTCGTGCAGTGTCTCCGGTTGAGGAAAGCGGCTGTTGTTGGCTTAAGAAGAGTGAAAGAGAGAGAGACAGATATAGCCAATACAATATCGGAAAAATGGAAAAACTTAAATTATTTTGAAATTCTAATTAAATAGATCATTAGAAGAAAAGAGGACGAGTCTACTGCAAGAATTAACATTAGAAGAAAACTAGCGGTCGACAAATAAATTCGTCCCTTTTACGAACAGCGATACTAAAAGGCAGAGAGAGAGAGAGAATGCTCTCATCGGCAGTCATCGGCTCCGAGACCAATTCCGCTTACGTATAAAATGTATTGTATATGATGTAGGTATTAAGGTATTAAGATACCTGGGCTCCCTGATCCTGGCATCACTGGAAGATGCCTCGAAGAGGACGCCAAGGGAACTTACTGCCTTTGCTAAAAATACCTCGATTCTCGATGGCTTTCAAACCTCATAAGCACCCCCGCGACGGTTCATACCCCCCCATCCGGGTAACTAAGGGCCATACTGGCCTATGCGTGGCCCCACTGAGGGCCGTCCGGGTTAACCTAACCTAACCTAACATAATCAATAATAAGTCTATGTACATACATATATACTGACTGAGTATCGGCAAAGACCGCGGCTCACAACATTCCCTCTCGTTGCAGAGTCTGAATCAAATCGTATCACTATAATAGCCAGATGGATCAATTGAAATTTAAGTGGCTTAGGTTTATGAAGCAATAAAATAACAGGTTCAAAAGATAAGTGCAAGAATCAGACTAAGCATCCAGAGGCGTAGCGGGAGACGGATATGGTAAGAATTTGGCGAGAACGAGAAGATCAACTGATGATGGCGGGAGCGGAAGCGGACTACTGCGTGTTTCCGTGTCGGCGAACCGAAAAATATTGTATACCCACAAGTAATGCAATATTATGAAAGGATTTTAGAAATACAATAGTAACAAAAAACGAGGGGGAACGTTGTGAGTTGCTGCGGACACCGCAACTCTACAGTTATACCCGATACTAAGTCAGTATGGCTCTCCTCCGGCAGACGCCGCTAATATTAAACGACAAGACAAAGAGTGCGTGCGAGAGAGACAGAAAATCAGTCTGAGCGTGACGTCGGGCGCTGCGTAGCCAGTGCAAATTGATTTGTTTCCTTTCGCTATAAAAATGATCTGATCTGATCCAGATTCAGCAATCTGATAGATATGGTCGTTATCTATGATTCTGCGTTTTTAGTTTTCTCAAATCTGCAATATTGTGGATGCAACAGATTTTCGTCCTTTGTGTGGGCGGAAGCGGGTGGGGCGAAATTTTGAGATATACGTTTTATAGTGAGATCTAACAGAAGTGCGGATACCAAATTTGGTTACTCTAGCTTTAATAGTCTCTGAGATTTGTGAATATCCCCAGATTTGCATTCTTTGCGGGGGCGGAAGGGGGTGTGGCGAAATTTTGAAACAAACTCGTCTCGGTCCGATATATTAGGAGTGTGGATACCAAATTTGGTTGCTCTAGCTTTTATAGTCTCTGAGATCTAGGCGCTAATGTTTTACTCTAAACAAAGCCGCCTATGCTACGTGTGTGTTAGAGAGAGACAGGGCGAGAAAAAATGAAATTGTTTTCTTGATGCTGACTATAATAATAATACGATCCAATTCAGATTCCGCAGTCTAAAAGATATGGTCATTCTCTACGATTCTGCGTTTTTGGTTTTCTCGTATCTTTAAAATTGTGGATGCCACAGATTTTCGCCCTTTGTGGGGGCGGAAGTGGGCGGGGCAAAGTTTTGAAATATTTTTGTAGCAGTGACATATAACAGAAGTCTGGATCCAAAACATCGTTGCTCTGGCTCTTATAGTCTTTGAGCATTAGGAGCTGAAGGGGACGGACAGACGGACAGACGGACGGACGGACAGACGGACAGACGGACGGACGGACAGACGGACAGACAGACATGGCTCAATCGACTCGGCTATTGATGCTGATCAAGAATATATATACTTTATGGGGTCGGAAACGATTCCTTCTGGACGTTACACACATCCACTTTTACCACAAATCTAATATACCCCAATACTCATTTTGAGTATCGGGTATAATTATTAATAATTAATACACTCTGTAAGAGCACTATCCATGTAGTAGATAGTGCGGGTATACGTGTTTGTTGAAGGTTGCCTCCTTGCGGGCGTGGTCTGCTTGGCTGGCGGTGGCGGCTCAGATTTTGCCTTCCCGGCTAAGGGAGTGCTGGCGTGCCAAGTTCTTGGGGCAGCGTGTTCGCACGCTGCAGTTCGGTGGGAGCTTTACGCTTTACAGCGTTTTAAAAGACAACATAGCCTCTCCTCTGTATTATCGTTGTGCTCGTCTTGCGAACAATATTGGCGAATTGCATTTGCTCGAGTTTTCCAATCCCACTATAATCATTGACATTGCATTATTTCCAAATTTGCCCTTTGCTTTCCCCCTTTGTTTATTGTTAAAACGTTTAATGGAAAAATAAACAGCCAAAATTTTGTTCTGCGAATGAAGGCGATCTGCCCCCTCCTTCTCCTTCTCCCTCTCCCTCTTCCAATTTCCCTTTCCCCGCAATGTGCATGCAGCCCGCTGAAAAAGTTCTCAGTGCCCTGGAATAAATAATATTTGCTTTTGGGACACAACTCCATTCAAATTATGATTCGGCGGTTCCTGGGCTGCCAAATGTTTGCAGTTGCATTTGGGAACTAGTCGAAGATGGAATGTATCGAAAGAGTGTCTCGAAAGGGGTCGTGGGTGGGAGAGGTACAGCCGGCTTTCCTCAACCAATTAATCTAAACAAAAACATAGAGGGACAGAGAGAGAGAGACAGGAAGATTGGGTCGCAGTGCAAAAGTTTCACTTCCAGCGGGGGACGTCATATGTTGAGAGAGGTGAAGGTGAGGATGGGGGTGCGGAGGCCATCAACGGGTCATGATTTACACATGTTTACACGAAATGTGCAGCGGTTGAAGGGAAGGGGGACGATCCCGTATGAATGAATGATTGCAGCTCGGTACTGCGCCTGCTTCTTTCTCTGCTGCACCCGCTGCAGTCAGTGCTGCTGCATTGGTGTTGTAATTTATCCAGCTAGAGAAATATGGATTTATGCGGTTAGGCGGAGGAAGAGAGGGGTACATGTCAGGGGGCTCATCGCTTTGGGTGGTCGTTCGCCCCCGACTGCTGGGGCACATGTAAAGCGCATGCCTTTCGCGTCGCTGCTCTCATTGTTATACCCTTACAGAGGATATTATTCTTTCGAGTATATATATGTACATATATATGTATGTATGTATGTTGGCCAGAATCATTTCAGTCTCAATAAATACATTAAGATATGTTCTTGATCAGCTGAATCTATATACAATATATCCATAATTAAGTTAATTTGAATAAAAACCAGTGTATCTTTGTAATAAAGCCGGGAAATTATCGATCTGCTAGGGTATCTGATGCTTCGGCACCCGTGGAAAGCCTTCCATTGATTTGCTATTTGCTGATGCCAACAAAATTGACGAACGACGTCGGCATTGCTCCAAAACTTCAATCGGCGCGCATGCAACAACAACAACTAAACCCAAAGAAAACAGCAACTAGAAGAGGAAGGAGAATATAAAGAAGAAGCAACAACAGCAAGAGCAAAGGCAATTAAAAGGATGGAATGGAAGGAGGAAGGCCTTGAAATAGATATACAGTTAATCCGATCGTTCTCTCTGTCGCACAAACTCTCTTTCTTATCTAACATTCTCACTCCACTCTCCAGAGAGCTCGACATGACATGCATATGAATGTACATACACGAGTGCATACATGTACCTCGTACATCTGTATGTGGGAGAGTTTGGCACATGTGTTGGCTGTGTTTTGGACAAACCCAAGATTAAGAAGATTAATTTCCCTGATAATTTGGGAACACGATTTTCGAAAAACTTTTTCGACCCGTTGAAAGGTTGAACAGACGTTCTCCCATTCCAACAATGCCCCCCACTATCCTTCTCCACTCAAAACTGAAGTAAAGTTGCAGACTGCAGACGCGAAACGTTTAAAGACTATTGATGGATTCTTCCCGACCGACGCCGCTTTTCCGCCGTCCTCCGTCCGCCGTCCGCCGCCCGTCACCCGTCGATCGTCGAATGCATCTTTCAATGGATTTTCGGCACTTTTCCTAAAGTCTTCAATGGGCCGACAAGTAGACAAAATAAATGATGGAATCCATGTCGAAGCGGGAGGATAAGTGTGAACGAAGGGGTTGTGCGGAGAGGGGAAGCGATAATTGGGATAGGAAATCGAATAGAATTTGATTACATTTAAGGATACAATCATTCAGTAATTTAATGTACTGAAAAATCCTTCACATTACTTCCCCCAAAACAAAGCAATAACTGGATTTGGTTTCAAAAATTCAGACGAGGGGTACAGCATTTGAGTTTAGTTTTCTATAGCTAGCAGCAAGTGAATTTCTTGAAATTTCAAAATAAAATCGTACAAAATTTTTCATCCTTTAAATAAATCTAAATTATTCGCACAGCAAACATGTTTCGCATCACGTCCACCTTTAAAAAATTCAGCGATGTTTTCATGACCGCTCAACGTTATAAATCCAACAAGAAAGATTCTTGCGGAAAGAAAGAGGATCCCTGCAAGAAGAAAGAGGATCCTTGCAAGAAGAAGGAGGATCCTTGCAAGAAGAAAGAGGATCCTTGCAAGAAGAAGGAGGATCCTTGCAAGAAGAAAGAGGATCCCTGCAAAAAGAAGGAGGATCCCTGCAAGAAGAAGGAGGATTCCTGCAAAAAGAAGGAGGATCCATGCGGAAAAAGTAAGTTTAGTCCCATACAATAATCGGTTTTTAACCCTTCACCAATTTGTAAAGAAAAACAGCCCACGGGTCCCAAATGCAAGGGCAAGGGCGGAGCTGGAGGATCGGGAGAGTGCAAGAAAGGCAAGAAGTAAAATTGGAAAAATTCAAAAAATCTAAAAAAAAAAAACAACTGAGAAATGAAACAAATTTATCTCAGTGGGCCAATCGAAACATATACTTCCATTACATTTCCGAAATCAAAATTTTCAGTATCCCAAACACTAGAACTCGATTCTCCTCGAACTGGTTTTTTTCTGGCGCTCTACCTGTGAATATAACACTATGTTCCTGCTGGTATCCAACAATACTCTGCTGATCCTCAGGCATCGCGTGTCCAATGGGAATGGAATTGGTCTCTTCAGCACTCTCTGGGAAAAGTGCAAGGGGTTCCAGAAGGATGAAAATACCGAGGTGTTTGAAGAAAAGGAACCTAAACGATAGAAGGTAATATCAAATAGTTAATGCATAACATGATCTTTCTTGATGTAGAGTTTATTCTTTCCTTTTTTCTAGCAGAGGGACCGATTCCCCCTGCCGAATAATGGACTACCATATTGTTGCCGGGGGCCAATTTTACAGCAAGATCATAAAACGGAACGCGCGCAGACATTATAAAGCCATAAAGCAACAACTAAGATCAGAGCAAAAATAGCCCAAAAACGGCAGGGAGGAGGCACTACATAGACAAGTGATAAAAAAGAATTTCCATGGGCAGTTTACGATGTATGTATGTCTCTAACTCTCCGCCGACCTACCATATGAGAGACCCAGAGGCCGTACCCAAGTCGTAGCGGAGAATCATCAAAATTTAAAGTGAACAATATTGAGAAATACAGAACCTAATTTGGGGAAAATATTATTGTGATTGTTGCATTATTCTGGGGAAAAACTGCATTGTATCATCTAGCAGGTGCTTAAAAGAGCCCCCGCGTACGACTGCGATTTCTCAGCTCTCAATGCGAGATCATCTGGTTCCCAAATTCACGACAAAAGTTCAGACACCGGGGAATCCATAAATTTCCCGCTTGAAGGTGGGTGGGTCAGAGGATGCTTTTGAATGCTGGGATGGTCCATATACCCCATCTCCTGCACTCGTTTCTCCTGCTCTTCCTCCGATTTTATGGCAATTCAATTGCACTGGCACTGACTTTTGTTTCCTGCTGCTGCTGCTGTTGCCTCTGGCTCTCCCTCCTACGTTTCGTCGCAGGGCAGGTTGCAGCCGTATGGCTCTGGCCGTGTAAGATCTGTATTTTTGGTTTTTTCTCCTAGGCCTAATGTAAACAACTGATAAAATAAAATTCCCCTTCCATCACGGGCACGGGTCGCGTCGCACTTGTCAGCCCAAGAGTTGGGAATGGAATAGAAAATTTGTTCTGCTACCGCCTGATTTTCTAATTTTCTTTGCCTTGGATTTCCCAATGCGATTGATCGTTGTAATACTTATATGAGAAACTCTCGATTTTTTTTTTTTGGGTAATTATTACTTGCTTCCCCAATGTAAACAGATTGAAGCGGCTAATTTTAGTTGATGAGATTATTTGATTTTCCTTTACGATTCTGCGGCCTCATATTGTTGGTGTGACGTTTGAAATCATAAAAATGGGGTTATCAAAAATCCTTTTGAAGATTGGTGGGTTAGCAATTGTTCTACACTATATATTTTTCGGGATTAAGTACTATATACAGATGCAGATGTTTTGGATTTCTATTAAAATCTGTTTATTCTTTTGTATTGTATTGCTATTCTATTTTGTCTAAAAGTAATTGAATCGTACTTCTGTTCTGGGGCTCAGGTACAGGTATTTCTATCCAAACCAGCCCTTCTTGCCGCCCTTGCCTCCTTTTTTGTTGCACGGATCCTGATCGCAGCAATTCTGCTTTTGACAGGAATCCTCGCAGCAGTCATTCTGGCAGGAATCCTTCTTGCACTGATCCTGGCAGCAATCTTGCTTCGGACAACAATCCTGTTTGGGGCAACAATCTTGCTTTGGGCAGCTGTCCTTTTGCTTCGGGCAGCAGGGCTTCTTCTGGTTGGAGTCCTGGCAACAGTCCTTCTGGTTGCCCTTCTTGGACTTGGTCCTTCGGGTGGACATCAGGGCATCGCTCATCTTCAGGAAAGTGGAGCTCGTCAAGCGATTCATACTGGAATTTTGATTTATATGTTGCCTCAACGATGTGTGTTTCTGAATTATACTGACATTCGACTGACAGACATGTGTGTGTGGGTTTTCCTTCCTCTCAAAATGTTGCTATGTTTGCAGTTTTGGGTTTTCGGTTACATATTTCCTAGAGTCCGGGCTACCGACTGCTTCTCAAGTGCCGACCACACATTAGCCGTGATGATGTCCCCGTCCCAGCCATTGCAAGAGGAGGGGGAGAAACGTCCAGGCGGCGCCATGTCAAAATATTTGTCGTCAATTGGTTCGTAGTCAATTTATGGTGTGGATAATTAGGCGACTGCTGCGTCAGGATGTCGCCGTCGATTAAACCATAGAGAAATTTAAATTTATTTGTTTTTTCTCTTTTCCCCTCCCGTTGACGATGAAACATCCACTCGAACATGATACATACGTGGTCTAGGTAACCGATCTTGTTTTTCTTTTCACTAATGATCGCGTGATGATTGGCTGTCAGGGGAGAGACCTACATATGTACATGTGTATGTACATATGTACATATACTCGTATATGATCTTGTTGTTCATGGGGGTTCAAGGTGCCTGAAAGCAACACTCATTTATAAATAGGAATCTTTTCAGGAACAGGCATCGATCTGTTTGGGAGACTATTCCCACATAAATGTAGTTTGAAGATAACTTTCATTGATATTCTGATCGCAGAATTACAGATCTTCAAGTGAAGCTTTTTATGCTTGAAAATTCCACTGTGATCAGCGAAATATCTTTATAACCCAAAGTTTCAGCATTCAACTGTCAAGTTTTTGGAATCAGTTCCACCAATCATCATGACATTTCAATGCTGGCCGGGGCATATTTCACCCTCAACTCGGATCAACGGATATTTTTAGGCCTCACAGGTGCGCTGCCCTCGAAGGCCAGAGACCAAGACCCATAAAAAATACCCCCACAAGACGGGAAAAGGAGAGGGGGGAGCTACAAAAGGCCAGGAAGAAGAACAAAGAGAAAAGCGAACGACAGGGAGAAGCACACAGAACCAATGACGACAATGAGCGTCAAATGAAACGAAACAGATGCCAACCAATCCAATGGATGCGATCGAAGGAATACTGGAAGATCGAAGTTCGGATCGGGTGAACGTTGGGCACTTTTCACATAATCAGCAATGGGGGCTGCTTCCTTCCAATTTGGCCAGAGAGCGCTTAAACCAAAAGATTAATTACTGCTAACGTTGCGGAATCGATGAGAAGCAAGTAAATTCCCCCATTTTTCTGTATCTGTATCTGTATTTGTATCTGTTTCCTGTGTCGTGGCCCCTTCCGATCCGATCAGCACGGATTTGTTGGGAGTGAGTCAGCGTCAACGCATTCTTAAGTACCGGCTATTAAACTAAAAGCTAAACAAGAGAAAAACCGGACCCCAAAGTGGAAATGGCTTTTGTGTGAGGATCAGATTGTCGATTGCCGTTTGCCGTTTGCCGATCGATTGAGAGTGCTTGTGCTCCCCCAAAAACACTGCTTCCTATACAAAGTTGCATACTTTTTTTTTGTATATCTCTCTCTCTCTCTCTCTCTTTTTCTATATTTCTCTCTCTTTTCTTCTTTAGATTTATCTTGGCTTTTCTCGCTTTTTTGTTGGTGTTGTTATTTTCTCAATTTTTGTACATTTGGCGCCATTATTGCGCACCAAAATGGATCGCAAGTCTATAAATTCTTCAGTTTTATTGCGACCGCTTCGACAGCTGAAAGGCGTAAAGCGCCAGACGAGGGAGGGCATACAGAAGGGAAGGAGGTACAGCAGGGTGAACTAGTGGGGGTATAGCTGGAGAGGAAGAGAAGGTAGTGGGATTTGAACTTTTACGATAGCTGCCATAGTTTGCATAGTTTGGCAATGGCATCGACAAAACGGCAAATTCTTGGCCATCTTGCGCAAGGCGTCGGCCATCTTGGATACACATAGAGCTCCACACATACAAACACATGGACATATCACAGCGGCAAAGGTGTTTATGGGCCCCCAGAGAAGTGCCAAAGTGTGGTAATCGTTGGGTCACAACAGGAGGCAAAGATTGAAAATCCAAGGGGTCTGGTAGAAGTAGGGCCAAAAGAATGAGAGGAATCTGGCTTTAATGATAAAACTTGGTATTGAATATATGTATGTAGTTTTTGATATACGGGTAATTGTTTTTCAAGGCGTTTTAATGCTTAAAACATTTTCCATTGTACAATCTAGTATAAACATATTTTATTTGATTTCTTTTGAATTAAATAATTGATAATATATACATAGTATATATAAAAGGAAATATATATCACAAACACAGATGGGGATAGACTTCCGTATCTATCCGTACCCTGTTTACCACTAAAAACTTTACACCAATCAATCCATAACATCCAATCCACAAAAGTTTGTCAACTCAACCACACCGATCCAACCAACCAAACGGTATCCGCGAACCACTCAAAACACAGAACAGCTCCCGTTTAATGGAGAATTAAGCGTTGGTATCGCATAAATATTTACAAAAACAGACAAACAAAGTCGTGGGAAACAACAATAACAACTTAAGAGGTTTATAGTTAAACAAAAAAGGAAAGAAAATAATATTCTGCTTGTGTATTTCATTTCGTGTTTTTTTTTCGACCAACCAACACGTGATCGTAATCAAAACTCTGAGACAGAGACAGAGAGAGAGAGAGCAAATCATTTGATGCTATCGGAGATTGGAATCATTTTGAGTGAGATCTAAGCAACAAATTGCACAGACGAATATCTAAATATTTAAACAAAAAAATTTTGGTCAGCCAGTGGCAAGCGCTCTATGGTCAGGGGGGAAAGTTTAACTAGACGGCATAATTTTTGGGGCAGCAACTCTTGTGTAAATATTTTGAAATTCTTGTAGCGATACACAAAGAAAAATAGTGTTAATTTTGTATTGAATATATAAATATGAAGACATATGTTTACATATATTGAGTAGATATAGAATAAATAAATATTAAACAAGAATATCCATCCAAAGTTTGGAAATTGTATAAAATCACATTTCAATATTCCCTTCAAATGTATCCCTGTTTTTCCAAATGCATGTACATACCATCTCTTTCTCGCACTCGCACTCGCACTCGCACTCGCACTCTCTCTCTCTCCCTCTTCCACTTCCACTAAACTGATCTTTGCTCTGGACTTTTTGAGGCGTAAAAACTGTTTAATAATTAGTGGGCGTGGCAGATCGAGAATCGGGATGGCAGAGGAACGAGGGCTCCGTTTAGATGCAATTGTTTGCTTTTACCAGTTGTTGTAGGTCAGTGTGCAAAAACAATTCCAAATGCTGCTCCTTCTTCTACTATATACAAAAAGATGGTCATGGTGTTGGTTCTATGAGATTGTGTGTTTAGAGTAAAGCGTTTAATTGTTAAATGTTTATTAAAACTACAGTTTATACAATGCCATAGAGATGCAAACTGGAGCGGAGAGAGATGGATAAAGATACAGAGAGAGAGAGAGAGAGAGAGAGATTAGGGTCATCAATGGGATGCGATTGGATATGGTGTATGGTATAATATTGGATTGTAGTATTCTTTTGAGAAGGCGACGGCAATGGCAACCCGTCGTATACACAATTTTGTTTACAAACATCGCATAGTAGTAAACAATTTTCGGCCATTTAATAACATTAACATTAAAAATTAAAAGCAAAACAGAAGCCATACCATACCATACCACACCGTACCATCGAACGATCTATGCAGACTTATCGCTTTATTATGATTATCTGAACTTGAAAAACGGAACAACAATGTGGAATGATGACAGCTTTTGTTTGGGAATTCCCTTGGTCTATGTTTATTATGACTGTTTCGGTGGCTACAGCAGGGGCAATGGCTACTCCATTGAAGAGGATCGGAGCTCACACTGGGACGACTCTAGGACCTGGATCGCACTGATGTGATGTGCGGATCGATTCGAAGATGGCTACTTGATCGTAATCTGTTGGCCGAACGGAACTGTTGACCCAGTTATGGGTGACGCACATGGAGCGCGATGTGTGGTCGCTTGGCCAGTGCATTGGCTGAACGAACGCCTTATAGCCTGATGGCTATAAATAACCTCCTATAAAGACAAGATGTCGTACCGGGAAATGCAAAAATAAAACCTGACAGGGATGCCGTGTCCGGCAGATATTCAGCGATTTATAAACATATTTTTGACCAAATTACTGCCCGACTGAATCATCAAAGTGCTGATCAGAAGGATAGAGACTAGGAAGCTTTGGATGTAGAATCTAACAAACTTACACCTAAACTTCTAAAGACTCATTTGAATAAATTTCCCGATTGACTTATTGCTTAATTTATCATCATGCTACATTTACCATATATATACATAGTTAACACCAGAATATACCCATAATTTTGATTATTCTTAGTCATTGATCCTCCGTGTTTTCTGGGGATCCAATGCAATTAATAATTTTCTTGCATCGGTTCGGGGTCCATGATCTATTGGGGACTGTTTAATTTATTCCTCACCCGACGATAAATTCCTGAAACGCAAACAGCTGAAAAAAAATAAGAGAAAAGAAAAGAAAAGCCAACAATAGGTAGAAGTAATAATAATCAAAAGTAAAATTAATTTATGGCCGCCAAAAACGCAGAAGCCGTAAGAAAAATGGCCAACAGTGAAAAGTATCTTTGCGCTCCAATGGAACCACTAAAGAACTGGGTAAACTCGGCAATTGCTTTCGGAAATTCGTGGAAAATTGCGAGTGGCTTGAGAAGCGAGTATTTGCCAAAAATCCAAGGAAATTAAAATATCTTTCAGGCGGCCAGAAAATAAAACGGCATGAATTTTCCATACCGATTTTCCCCCCGTCCGATTTTCCCAATCTGACAAATAGAATTTCGTGAAATATAAACAAAACTCCGCCTCCGTGTGTCTCCCGCCGCCAGCGGCCACAAAATGTATCTGTATCTTTGTGCGTGTGCCGCCCCGTGTGCTCGCTCGCTGTATCTCTTTGGGGTTTTTGGGGGAATTGAAACGTTTCGTTGCCTCATGCGCTGGCTCTCTCTTTCGCTCTCGCTCCCTCTTTCTCTCTTTCTCTCTCGTTCTCGCTTTCCAAGAGGCAGAACGTCGCCATCTCACGGTCGCGTCGGCGTAGTGCTGACAGCAATGGCGGCACTCACGGCAGGGAAGGGAGAGGGGTGCTGCTGCTGTACGTCCCGTGATCAGGCCGTACAGAGAACAGAACAGAGAACGACTAAATCAATTAACAGCTCGTTTCGAATGCTGCCACCAGCCACCAGCCACCAGCCACTGCGGCTTCCTTTTCCTCGAAATCCGTAGACCAATTTATTTTTGGGTTCAATATTTTGGGGATCGGATCTCTGGGTTTTTCCCGACTATGTATTTATTAACTGTTGACTGCACAGACGCTCACAGCGGGAGTACAAAACCAAGGTATTTGATCGGCAATGAATAAGAAATGAGGAATGAGAGATTTCCATTTAGAACAAGAAATATCAGAGCATGTACTTTATTTTCCTTTTGAAGATCCAATTGGAAACCTTGGACAATAACATGGATTTCTATTAAAGTGTTCAGATACCTTACATAGCATACACCCTTCCCGATCTCCAATGACGAAAGTTGGCAGTTGCCAGCATTAAAAATTCCATTCCGATCAATTGAACGAACCAATTGCCAGCCAGAGAGAAAAAGAAACCTACACAGCCATACAGAAAAAGAGATAGAGAGAGCCAGAGCGAGAGCGAGAGAGACCTATGAGAGAGCGATGCGAACGTTTTGCGTAACTAAAAAAAGAATTCCGTTCAAGTGGCGTCCAGCCAGGAGGGAGCGCCAGCAGATGGATGCATTCTCGCATTCACTTGATCGAAAACAGCCAAAGCGAACGGTACTTCTAACGGAACACACAAGGATCGGTAGAGCAAAAATAAACATAGAAAACAAGGAGATCTCGAAAGGAGTACGTAGGATCGAAGAGAAATATTGGAACGAAATTTTTTTGAAAAAGTGAAACATGATAAAAAGTGAAGAAGTTTCTGATCTGAATGGCCGCTCGGCCATGAGTGTGGACCAGCTGGGGGGTTCCTACTACCATCCGCATCCATTCACCCACCCACATCCGCATCATTCGCATCCTGCCAGCCATTCCGTGCATCTGTATCGCACGGGCAATCTGCTCCCTCCTGGCGGTGGCTATCAGACTGGAATGGGCGGGGGTGGAGAGTCGCCCACTGATATGATCGATGAGAAGCCCAATATCGAGTACATGGATCGCAAGTGCTATATGGATGCCAGTGGCATGGCCACGCCCACCTCACAGCACTACAGCCTGAATGCTCTGCATAGCATGGGAACGCCGCCGGCTTCGTCGAGTCCCATTCCACCATACGGCGCGCTGATGACGGCCCAATCCCATTCGGCGGGCTCCATGTCGCCGAATTCCAGCTCGAAGACGCCCACGGATCAGGACATGCAGTACGTGAGCTCCTCGTCGGTGAAGGCACCACCGCTGCAGATGCAACTGCAGCCGATGAACCACCAGTACACATCGACCATTAAGTACTGCTCGAACAATACAATCCTCAGTGCTAATGATTACCAGCTGCTGACCAGCCACGAGGTGGATCCACAGCCACAGTTGCAGCATCACCATCCGCAGCAGCATCAGCAGCACCATGAGCATCATGAGCATCAGGAGCATCATGAGCATCATGAGCATCATGAGCATCATGAGCATCACGAGCATCATGAGCATCACGAGCAGCACTCACCCCCAGGTAGTGCCTATATGCCAATCTCTGCCTCGCCCACGCAGGTCATCACCAATGCCCATGGAATGTCCGTTCCGAATTACTCCAGCGCCAGCTCCTCGCCTGCCAAGTCCCTCAATGGCTCTGATTCCTTGCCACCAGCACCAGCCTCCAGTCAGAGCTCCCAGGGCAAGTCGGGTGGTTTGAAGGCCCAAGATATTACCAGTCCAGATACAACTAAAAAGTCCGGAACTCGGCGTCCGGAAAAACCCGCTATGAGTTACATCAATATGATTGGACACGCCATCAAGGAGTCGCCCTCGGGAAAGCTCACACTCTCGGAGATTTATGGGTATTTGCAGAAGAGGTAAGCTATTGGGGATCGGGATTAGGAGTAGGGGAATTCGATATTTATTCGATTCTTGCCATTCGATAGGCATTAGAACAGAGAAGCCACTAGCACTATAGTTATTTGTTCATGCTGTATCTTAAAGATCGTTCAATTAGTGGTATCTATTGGTGTTTCGAACGGATGGAAGACAGTCTTACTTGAAGATCCAACCAGAGAAAGAGGGATAAGCGACAAAATATAACCAAAAATTATAACCAAATTATATAACAATATAACAAAATGATACACAATAAATATGAAGGTCTCTAGAAGTGCGGCTTTCTAAGCGATAAGTTCCGAAAATTATATTTCGATATCTTAGGAGCTATAGTAATGACCAAGCGGGAAAGTAATATAACATAATTTTATATTTCTCTTCAAATGACTTTTCCAAGTAACAAATACCACAACTGGCCGGTCACTGCTTTCTCAAGCTCTCGAATAACACGCGCCGGCACACGGAGACATGTATGTAGAAATATAGAACCAAAGATGGGGACTATTGGCGATATCGACACTGGGAACTCGGATCCCCGCGCCATACACATATCGACATACACAGACACATACAGAGACGATCAGTGTTACTGGGGGTTTATTTATTTGCAACCGATTTTATTTAGTCAGCCGATTCCCTTCCCAAGCCCAAATTCTCCGCTTTCCCCTCATAGCTCCAATGCGCATCCTTCAGATACGAGTATCTCGTATTTCTGGCGGCGTGTTTGGATTTTGATTTCGATTGCCATTTCGGCGACGAGACGGAAATCCACTTGAGCTTTGTCCGACTGCTGGCACGGGAAGGGGGAGGAGACGACGACATGCGTGAGAGGCTTTTAAGCTGACATCGTTTGATTGTTTCTGTTGCCGGGTGTTTTCAGTGCTCCAGGGGTCCAAGGGTCCAAGGGTCCAAGTGTCCAAGGGTCCACTCTCCAGGGTCCCCTAACGAAATCAGAATTTTTAATTGGGTTTTCGCCAGCACAGCCAAATAAATAAACGCCCGATTATCAACTTTTGTCTTTCGGCAGCTACGAGTTCTTCAACGGGCCATATGTCGGATGGAAGAACTCGGTGCGTCATAATCTCAGCCTGAACGAGTGCTTCAAGAAGCTGCCCAAGGGCATGGGTGTTGGAAAGCCAGGCAAAGGCAACTACTGGACAATCGACGAAAACTCGGCGCACTTGTTCGAGGATGAGGGAAGCCTGAGGCGTCGTCCGCGTGGATATCGCTCTAAGATCAAGGTCAAGTCGCATGCAGGTCTTGCGAATGGCTTTTACGCTGGCAGTTATGGAGATGCGGGAATGGTGATTACTGTCAAGCACTTCGTCTATGTAGATCCTCTTCAACTAAGCTCTCGCTCTCTCTCTTTCTCTTTCTCGAATCTCCTTCAGGACAATGCCAACTTCTATGCCTCTCCTGCTTATGCCAGCTATGATTACAGTCCTGGACCGAATGGCGTCTCCCCGGCTGGCGCTCAGGGTTTCGGGGATGCCTGGAATGTTCATGCCGCTCACAGTAGATCCCCGGGTGTGGGCATTGGCGGTCTGCCCCAGTACTCAAACATCTCTTGCTTGACAGGAGGCAATAATTTGAATGGATCTTCCACCCCGCCGATGGCCCACCCTGCCCTGGGTATGGGCTCCGGCCCAGGCTCCTCTCCAGCTGGATCTGTGGTGCCGGCGCTTCAAAGTGATTATGCGCCAGCCGCCAGTCTCGTGGCTGCGGGCTATTCCTATGCAACAAGTGTCAATCGCTTGGATAACGGTGAGTGGAACTGTCGGGGATTAGGGGGGGCGTCTGAAGTCTAGGGTCTGGGCAGCCCTCAAAGGGTAGAGTTAAACGAGTGCCTGGGTGTTCGCGTCAATCAGGGCAATATAATTGCTGACGGTTCACATCTCGGATTACCGCCTCGAAGTTGGATGGATGGAGGAAACAACATATGGTAATCTATCACTCCCTCAGTTGATGGACTTTTTGTGTTTTATAGTTGCCGCCGCCGCCGTCGCGACGTAGTGTGAATTTTAGCGCTTGTCCATAAAAAAGACTTTCCCACTTTAATCGGTTTTCCCTCCGGCAGATTTCCGCTCCTTATCGCTGCAGCAGCTTCCCGGCCTGTCCACCATCCAGCACGCTCAGGCCCAAGCCCATGCACAGGCCCATGCGCAGGCACAGGCACAGGCACAGGCGCAGGCGCAGGCACAGGCGCAGGCGCAGGCGCAGCACCACCATCAGAACCATCATGATCATGGATCCATGATCGATCGATAGATCGCAAACCGGTTTACCTGCCGCCCATAGCTCCGCCCCCCACATCGGTGGCGGTGAATGGCGGGGGCTACTACGATGCTCTCAAGTACCCCAATTAGCCACAGCCACGAGCCAATGGGGAGTTGTCATCATTATTACCTCAAAGGATAAGCAATTTAATGAGCTGTTTAAGTAGTGCCAGACAAAAGATAGTTGCATAGTGCGTACTTTTTTTATTCTTTTATTTTTTTTTCTATTATAAAACAATTATGAAATTATGAATAAATATTAAATTATATGATAAATGTAGCAATAAAAAGAAAACCAATTAAAAAGAAGACATGTATAGTACAGAGATTGAACACCAAATACTCCAAGAGAGTTATTTATTTTTTAAAACTTTAAATATTATCTTATGGGAATATAAATTTATGATAGCAATTTAGAGGTACTTATACTATAAATAAAGAAACATCAAGAAAATTGTGCAAACATTAAAATGTCGATAGTACTTCGAATCGGAGTTATCTTCCATTTGTCAGAAAATGCATTGCGCATTTGAGCACCACGCGCAGTTTCAGTGCAACCCTGTATGGAACAATTCACGAAATCAAAAGAAAATCAAATTAAAATCGCTTTCAGGATTATATATGATTTTCAAACTATTCTAGCTAGCTTTCAATTTTATTTGTAGAATATATTTCGACAATCTTCCACTAAAGGACCACTCATTGCATTATTCATTTTATTGAATATATGTATTTACAGTTACAGTTAAGTGTCAAAACACAGTCACTCTACAGGGTCAAAGTTTTCCACGCCTTTGTTCTTTGTGGATGGATTGTTCTTCTGTTCATGGATCAATATCTCAAGAAAAATAAGTAGTGCGTATATTTGTTGGCCTCTGTTTACGTAAAAATCATATACAACTTTAGAAAAAGATGGAAAAACAACTAAAGGTAACTAAAAATGGAAATTTTAAGAATACCGCTGCTGCCTCTTCAGAGAGGAGTAAAGGAATGCCCAAGAGCTAGCCTCATGAAGAGATGTCCCTCCCCGAGATTTTGACTGATGATGAGTTGTATTGTGATGCCTGTATGCCCGACGATAGGAGCAGTGGAGCGGATGAGCGGACTTCGATGTGGAACCCAGTGTGATGGGTGTACGAAACGCACTAGATCCGCAGTATCCCTCCTTAGGTAAACTCTCTCTTCAGTGCTAAGGGGCCGCAAGTCGGGACGGAAAAGGTGCACACGCTGTCGCGCGTCGAGGAGAAGCTCATGAAGCTCGGCCTGAAGCGCGTGGAGAACGTCTGCAGCGTTACCCTGTCTACGAGGCACTTGCCAGGTCAGGACCTTTGGTGAACGATTTTGACAACAAGAAGCATCTGGAGGTCGACGAGGCCCGTGACCGCGAGCTGGACAACTAGAACATTGAGCCATCCAAGTCCTGCTGAATGCCATCATGGTCATCAGCTAAGCGCAAATGAGTTAATCTAACAAAGAATAAATCGTTTTATATTATTTATTTAATTTAGACATACATATGTATGTATTCATTTTCAGTAAATATTACCATTACAGCCTATAAATATGCCATGGAATTTGAAACGATCGCAGGTATTTTAAATTGAAATCGAAGTTGGGCGCGAGCTGCCACTCTTCTCCGACAAGTCTGGCAAGTCTCTTATTTCCGAAAAAAACAGTGCTGTTAAGAATACGGATATGGGCTTAGCGGAGGCACGAACCAGCAGCGGCAGGTGTCGCCACTGTTTGCTAATAGTAAGTTGGAATTTGAATTTAAAATTAAATTTCAAAATTGGAACTGCCTTAGGATATATTTTGTTCTGTTTCTTGTATTCCTAACAGGAACTTCTTTTAGAAGATTGGCTTGTTGGGTTGTTGGACGTTTTCCCGTTTCTGGAACATCTGAGCATGTTAGGCAAACTTTCTACTTAAACTTGTTGGAGAAAAGATTGCTTGTGTCGTATAAACCATTTTGAATGATTTTCCTATAAGAATAATTCCTTCTGCGCACATTTCACGCGATGTGGATGCAACATTACAGATAATGACACCTTAATTGAACCACAATACCAAACGGAGGACAACTTGAGCACCATTCCATACTCAGAAAACTAATCTTCTTAAAGACTGACCGTAGCAATGGTTCAAATCTCGGGCACAGGCCCAGCCTCATTGTCCGAAAGATCAACAATCCAATTATTCAGTTAATTGTCTCACCTTTATGGGCAAATTAAAATCCTGCCCAGAGTCAAATGGACCACAGACCACCGCTCGAGTCGAGGCCCAAAAGGGAACCATTGTCCAACCAAGAGAATGGGCAGCAGCAATCGCATCAAGAAGTCGTCGCCGTTGATCATTATCGAAGGACGAGACGCTGCCCAGCCGGTGACAGGGAGACAGACACAAAGCAGGAATAGGGACTGGCAATGGGATTGGGATTGAATCTCAGCTGAAAAGCCAAAGACAAACACGGCTAAAAGGGAAAAACGGCAGCCGGGGCGAGGAAAAGTGAAACGGAATGAAGTTTTGAGTGAAAAATTTTACAGTCAAAGGATAATCGGGATTAAATCTTCTTGAAAAGTTAATGTTTACACACGCACCTACCGTTGGCTATGAGCGAAAAAAAGATGCAAAAATTATGAAAATATTGTCACAAGTGCACAGCAAGCCAGCGAAAAGACTCGGGCAGGACGAGGCAGAACGAGGTAGGACCCGGCCGAGCGGCAGAACAATTGCAGGCGGCAATCAAAACATGCAATTGTCCGTTTCGTTTCGTTTCGTTCCGCCTCGAATCGAACTGCAAGCGAACCGAAAACTCAGCCCAGACCACAACGCAGGACCCTCTGGAGCTCTGAGGCCGAGCTGCGTAAGAGGATTTGCGCGTCAAGTAAACACACGAACAGGACGAGAGTCCGGCTCTGGGTCTGGGTCTCAGTCCTGGGTATTCGATAGGCTGTCCGGCAGCCGGACTGTCAGGCAGAGGACTCTCATTCTGTCGGACGAAACGAAAACCAAATCGAAGATGCAGCCTGCATAAATAAATAAATAAAATGATTTGAACATTTTTATTTTCGCATTCGAAAAATGGAGAAAAGAAAACCGAACATTTTTCTTTGCGATAAAACAAACAACATTCCGTTTCTTTTTTTTTTACCACAAAAATCGTTTGTTGCACTTTTATTTATTTTAAATTTATGCGAGAATTAAAAACGTTTTTCGCAAGGATTTTCAGCTGTCGAATGTTTTCATAGACGAGCCATAACGAAATTGTATTCGTTTCGGCCACAAAAGAACAAAAATATGTGTACAGATCTGATGTGCATTTCCCCATAAATATATAATATAAGGAAACGATTCAAAGAGTTGCTCAATGCAAATTTTCTCCCTAGCTGCCTTCCGAGGAATACCTCCACCGCCAACGTCTCGAGTATGTCGCGCGTATTTCCCATACAAATAAACAGAAAAAAAAATCTTGTTGCAATAACATGGCATCGAATATTTATTAAATAAACATTAGACCGGCAGCAGCAGCAGCAGCCCAAGCAACAGATACGACTACGACTACCGCAGTTTTAAATGGAGTTCCCGTCGATGGATACTGGGAAGGTGTTTCATGAATGAAATCAATCGTAAAAGGAAATATTGTTTGGTTTAGGCAGACCGCAGGTAGCCCCGGATGACATTTCCGTGTGAGGTAGAGCTGGGCGATACTTCAATCATTTAGAGCTCATTAAACTGATTGAATGAGTGGACTTTATGGGCTACAATTCCTCAAAGATTAAGAATATTATAAATTATCAATAGCTCTTGGCTCTTAGATTTGCGTAATCGAAGATGAATTTTAAACCAAATTAAATCCAAAGTAATTTCCCTAAAATAAACTTTAAAGAACGTGTACCTCCCCATATCCTCCCCTCTTTATCATTAGCTTTCCTTACACTTCACTTTCGGAAAAACTCAAGCACTCGCTCATCACTTAAGCAAAGAGTCCACACCTTGAACACGTTCCCATCCCATCCCATCCCATCCCATCCCAGATCTGTTCCAAAGCAGTAGCCACCGACACTGACAACACTAACACCCACACCCACACCCAGCCGATTGCGGTTGCTGCTGTGCAACCACAAATAAGCCGCAAAAACCGCAGGACACGCGTAGAATCATCATCATCATCATCATCAGTACGATTAAGGGGGAAAAACCACTGACAAAAGCAGAAGCCACATGATGGAATAGGGATATAGAAGTATGGTCGTTCGGTCGGCCATCAGGTATTCGGGTTCTGTTAATCTTGACATCCCACGTATACGACAGGGGAAATACCCAAGGAAAGACTCAAATTTCATTAAGAATTCCCGCGGCGCATATTAAAGTCTAAACATGCCTAAAGAAGCCTGCCGCAAAAGTTTTCCCGCTGCTGGGGAGGGGTGGATGGGATGATGATCAATGCCTAAGCATTGGATGATTAGCATCCGGTGCCAGGACCTCGCATCTTTGGGTACGGGAACGAGTATCTTTCATATTTTTCGACCAGGTAGTCATCCGGACTTAGCGCCGCCGTGAATTTTGAATTTCCGCCGCTTATGACCGGAAGATTTGGCACCATGATTACGATTATGATTAAGCTAATGGCGGATATTTCCCCAGCCCAATCCAGAACATCGGACAACCCCTTTGCCGCACAGACCATCATCCTACCAGGAATAACAGAAATGTGTGTGGTGTGGCTACAACTAATCTGCTAAATTGTCTAGGCAAAACGGGAAAAGCAAAAAAATAGTGCAGAATATATGCATAATAAGCTCTGAACCATATACAAATCATAAATTTTAATGAGTGGCGAATATATGAAGCCCCCTGCCTACCATATACCTACCATACCTTATCCCATATCCCACATTCCACATTCCACATCCCCTCTCGATGGCATCCCCGAAGAAGGGTGGAGACTGTGGTAAAGTGCAGTGTGAAGTGTGAAAGCGAGAGGTCGTGCAACATCGCTTCATCTCTCTCTCTTTTGGAATAGCCACGCCCCCTGCTCATTGCTGCGCAGTCGTTCTCTCTGTGTATGTGTTTGAGTCCCCTTTTCATATTGGTCCTCTGTCTCTGCTTCTGCCGCATGCATATTCATGAGAGAGCAGCAGCGGCGGCGTGCCCCAGTATTGGTGTATCTATGTGATTCACTGCCCCCCGCCACTGGTGTATCTGTTTATCTGTGTAAGAGTATGCGCATATTTCAAAGATTGAAACCACTTTATCAGCATTTTTACGGTTCCCGGAGCAACATATTTTCTTCAATTCTTCAGCCCTTCGTTCATTTTTCGGGTTTCCTCTTTTTGAAAAAAAATTGTATTTTTCTTGCCGCTTAAGTCCGTCTCCCTCGGTCCCTTCGTTCGTCTCCTTGGTCCTGGGCGGCTCAAGTGTCTGATTAGGTGCACTCCCCTGCACTTTAAAATAAATATTATTCTGGGATTACTCTCCGCTACGCTCCGCTCCACTACCCTGCTATCCGCCGAAAAGATACTGAAACAAGAATTGCTAAAATTGAATAATAGCCAATGAGTTGCCACATGTTCCCGGTCCCGGTCCCGGTCCCGGTCCCGGTCCCGGTCCCGGTCCCTATCCCGATGGCCCTTCCCGTGGCATATGTTGCAAATCCCAGATATGGAACCAAACCTCAAAGCTCAAACGAAGCGTTGTCAACGGCAATGGCAACGGCAACGGCAGCAGCAGCGACAGCGACAACGGCGGTGTCAACGTGTCGTTGAATGCCTCAAATTGAGCGTGGCAAATGGGCGAGACAGCCCACAGTCCCCGTTTCCCATCGGTTGATTGTAATTTTTATATGTACCCTGATGTCATTAGAATATGGCAAATATGTTGGCCTAATTGACATGTTTTATGCGGCAAGAGCGTGTCGGAAATGGTATTTTTTCAAGGCTCATAGTTCAAAGAACTTGGTCGGAGTTCATAAAGCTAGAATGTCTGGGACTTAATGTACTATTATTAATGTACTTGCAATTTATACATACTTCTTTAGAAATGTGTGCTTATCTCTTCTGAGATACATATCTTTAATAGATTTAATTGAAATGAGTTTTACCTCTAGGAATGTCATCCATCTTCATCGTCAAAATCTTTGAAATGGTATAGTAAAAAAAGCACAACCATGTTTAACGTAAATACTCGGTTTTTAAATACAAACGGAGAACTTAGATAGAACTCACTTTTTTGTAGTATAAATGTTTTGAAAAGTCCCTACTTCATATAAATATAAAAACTTTCAAATAATGTATTATATTAAATTTGTAGGAAATATTTATATACGTAATGGCATAAATATGTATTTCAATCTAAAGCTCAGGTAAAGCCATTTAAGTTGCTTCAAAAAATTTCCATCACCTTTAAAAATGCATAATACATATGTATATACATAATACATATGTACTTGGATGTATCTCTTCTGCAGTCCCTTTCAACTTTCACTGCATTTAGGGACGAAATGCTAAGTTGCAGTTGGAGAAACTAAAACAATATTTTCATAGGTCAAATGAGGTGGGATGTCTGCAGATATAGACACAGATACATCGGAATGGGGCAGGAACGGGACAGACAGGCAATGGCAACTCCGTAAAAATAACATGAGCTGTGCAAAAATGCACAGAAACACTCGAACTCGGAGACAGAAACTCACAAAAAAACACCCACAATCACACAGATACATACACTCACAATCACGGCGCCAATATCGAAGACAGAAATTTGTTAAATCAGCAGGAGGGGTGGGCTAGGAAGGGGGAAGGGGGAAGGCGGAAGGGGGAAGAACAATCCAAATGGAATGCGCAAAAATGGAGCAAACAGTCTGGAGTCACCGCCTCATTCGAATTTCAAATGCAGACCACGTCAGTGGAGGAGGACTCGTTCTGACTCTGGGACTGGACACCCACACATGATTACCATTCACATTCACATTTTCCAGATCCAGATCCATCTCCAGCTCAGCCAACCATTCATCCTTCTCCGTTGAAAGATCGCATGCGAAAAATTATGTTAAAACAATACAAATATTTGTCAAAATAATGCGATTGCGTTAATAGAGCCAAATATTATTCTTGTATCAATTACACAGACACAGATTGTAGAAGAAGGAGAGCCTGGAACCTGACTTCATTTCAAGCGCTGACATAGCGTTCTATTCGTTCTACGGCATACATGAATAAAAAAGCTGTGTAAAAAACTATGGTAGGCAGAAGTTTTTTTCTCTTTCGCAAATAGGGAATATACCTCATATACATATACTATGTATGTATGCTTGTGTGTTTGTTTGGGTTTTTTTTAATGTGTCTGTGTCTCTAATAACCAGACAAACACTCCGGACTCGCTTGCATACACGCACTGGGTGCCCCTGCCCAAATAAACATACATACATCCTCGTATACTCGTAAAATTTACTTTAAAGCTGACAAAGTCAATAAAAAAATATTGTTTCAATAAGCAGAAAAAAACCTAAATTAAGTCGGCAAAAAAAGAAAAACCGCACTTGGAAGAACAACAACCAAGGGCAAGGACTCCTCGGGGGGGCAGGCAGTGGAAGTGGAGATGAGTTCTTATATATGGAATACACTCGTATGTATCTTTTTTTGTGTTTTTGGGGTTAGCAGGTCACTGCGGTGCCGATGATGAAAGGGCTGGCGAGAATAGATGTTTGAATGGAATGCAAGCCGAGATGCAAAGACAGTAGTTAAACGAATTGTAGGCTGGAACTGGAGATCCTTAATTCCTATAGCAGACATATGATAGAGGAACAGCTCGTATACCATTCATAGTAAACGAAAAGGCTCAGACAGATTGCTTTACAATTGATGAAATAGTATGAAATACAATGAAAGCATCCTGAATATATACTTCAAAATACATATATGTATCATTCACAGTATTGATAAAGTGTACAAATACCCACCGGTTCTTCATATGAATATGAATTCCCCTGTACGGCAAGTATAAAAAAAAAGTATAATTTCTGAAATTTGAAACTCAATTTAAATATTATCAAAATCTTGAAGCTATCACCAAGGAAAGGTCTAACATATTTAAGCACCCAAAGAACAGAAAATTTCAAAATATTTAATTCCTTTTCTCCCAAACGAAAACAACCTTCAGATATGGTTTTCTCCAAGCCTTCCGGCCACTCCCCATTTACCATCTTGGTAAAGAACCCATCAAACGGCAAATTAACGGACAACTTTCTTCCGTTCCTCTACCAGCCCCTCCCTTCACTTTCCAATTCAGAGGGGACCAACTTTAAGCTGAAATCGAAAAAACTTTGGCCACTAATTTATGCCAGCATAAAAGTAAGGGGCACAGCAACAGCAGCCATCAATCGCTCCTGCCCCATTCCACATGCCACACTAAAGCCACCCACTTGTACTGTTAGCTTTCCCAGGTGCCTGAACCATCGCTGTCTCTCTTTCTCTTTCTGGGCCGCTCTGCTTGCACTATCAGCCAGTGGGTGAGAGCGAGAGAGCCGTTTGCCTAGGCCGTATTTTAAGCATTAGTTTGAACAACAAAAACACAGAGAAAGAGCGGGGAGGAGAGGAGCAGACTGAAGGAGGATTGGCAACAACTATTTTCCCAGCAGAGCAGTAGCAGTAGCAACAGCAGTAGCAGCAGCAGCAGTAGCAGCAGCGGCAGAGTTTTCCCATTTCCCCTGGGTTTGTGTAAGAGAGAAGAGGCGTACCAACAAAAATCATGAATGGCGTCCGCAGTACGGGTTTTCTCTCCCCCAGATACTTTTGTATCTGTGTGAACAGTGCCAGTGCCGGTGTGCGTGTGTGTATGTCTTCACTTACTGACTGCCAGTATTGTTTGCAATCCATCCAGCCATTCGGTGGTTGGCCACAGATACATTCACACGCACACACCACTCTGCTGCAGATACATTTTTCGGTGTATCTGCTGCATCGTGCTCTCTGCTGGAAATCAACGCTGCCACTCTGCCACTGCCTCGTGCGTTGCGTCGCGTCGCTCCGACTCGAGTTGTATGTTATTTCAGTTACACAGATTCAGTATCCGACGTGTTACTATAGCGAACGGTTCGTTTCACGGCTGGCTCTGCGTCCCATCTTCGGTGTCGCACACACAGATACTAACTCTATATATGTATATGAATATATATGTATATGTATGGATATATCTGATTACAGACGAGCATATAGCCGACTTGTTAAAGCAAATATTTTTTTTCAAACAAATAATAAGAAACGGCGACAGCAGCTAAGTGAAGTGACAAATCGAGTGGCAGCCCAGAAAAAGCTCCCACAAAAGTGTGCCCGGAATTCGGTGTGCGGCATTTGGCCGCAATCCTCGCATAGATCTTTACCAGATCGTGGCATAAACACAGACCCCGTCCCACATCCACCATCCATCGTCCAGCAAGATGCACACTCTGTTCAGCGATCAGAACTCCTTCTCCCGGCACTACGCTCAGACGGCCGCCGGCTATAGTTCGGCCTCTGCGGTGGCGGCGGCAAGCAGTGCCTCAGCGGCGGCAGCCGCTCATTACGCCTACGACCAGTACTCCCGGTACCCGTACTCGGCCAGTGCCTACGGCTTGGGGGCGCCGCACCAGAACAAGGAGATCGTGAAGCCCCCATACTCCTACATCGCTCTCATTGCGATGGCCATCCAGAATGCGGCGGACAAGAAGGTGACGCTGAATGGCATCTATCAGTACATCATGGAGCGGTTTCCCTACTATCGGGACAATAAGCAGGGCTGGCAGAACTCCATCCGGCACAATCTCAGCCTCAACGAGTGCTTCGTAAAGGTGGCCCGCGACGACAAAAAGCCAGGCAAGGGCTCCTACTGGACCCTGGATCCGGACTCCTACAACATGTTCGACAACGGATCGTTCCTGCGGCGGAGGCGTCGCTTCAAGAAGAAGGACGTCATGCGGGAGAAGGAGGAGGCCATCAAACGGCAGGCGATGATGAACGAAAAGCTGGCCGAGATGAAGCCATTGAAGCTGATGACCAACGGCATCCTGGAGGCCAAGCACATGGCCGCCCATGCGGCCCACTTCAAGAAGGAGCCGCTCATGGATCTGGGCTGTCTCAGCGGCAAGGATGTTTCCCATGCGGCAATGCTCAACTCCTGCCACGACAGCCTCGCCCAGATGAACCATCTCGCTGGGGGCGTAGAACATGCTGGCTTCACAGTGGACTCCCTGATGAATGTCTACAATCCGCGGATTCATCACAGCGCCTATCCGTACCACTTGAACGACGACAATCTGGCGTCGGTGGCCAGCAGTCAGATGCATCACGTGCACCATGCGGCGGCCGCCCATCATGTCCAGCAGCTGCGCCATGTGGGTCACGTTTCGCATCCCCTCACGCCCGGCGGCCATGGAGGCGGCGGTGGAGCGGGCGGGGGACACAACAGTGGTATTCAATCCTCGGGACATTCGCCCACCACGATCTCAACGCCGCATGGACCGGCCCATGGGGGATGGTACACCCCGGAGACGCCGCCCTCGGAGCCCATTCCCAACGGCGGGGGCGGTCAGCAAGGCACGCCCACACACCCCGGCCATCCCAACACCAACCCCAACAGCAACAACAACAACAACTCGAGTGTCCACAACAACAACCACAGTCATAGTCACAGCCACAGCCACAACGGAGGTGGCGCCTCCTCGGTTCTGACGAGCAGTCCGAGTTCCGCCTTGGGTTTCCGCGATATGATCTTCGAGCAGAACCAATCCTGCCAGCTGGACACTGGGAGTCCCACAGGGAGCCTCCAGTCTGCGAGTCCCCCCGCCTCGGCGAGTGTGGCAGCAGCCTCTGCAGCGGCCGCAGCGGCAGTGATCAGCAGCCACCACCACCATCATCACCATCATGCGCTGAGCGGCAATCTGGGGCAGCTGGGGCAGCTGAGCAACCTGAGTCACTATCGGCCCCACATGGGGCACTATCAGGAGTACGGCATCAAGTATGGCGTCTAAGAAATGGGAGAGGCATATGTGGATGTGTGGCATACTCCAAAGTCTAGCTGTTATCTCTTGTATATTCGTGTAAATATATTTCCAAGAACGATCCGCAGCTCTAGAATGTATCTCAGTATCGAATTTATTGCAGAATTTTTTTTAATAAATATTTTTTTTTTTCAATGTTACACACCTCTATAAATCGTATCGTATATACATATAATCGTCTAAATCGTAAGCAAAGTTTTTTTTTGTAGTTTTATGCGTACACGTACATCCCCTAATAATAATAATAATAATAATAATTAAATTAATAATAATAGTAATAATAATAATAATAATGATATTGATTAATAATTTTCGAATTCGTAATTATTGTAATTGTAATTGTTATCACTGTAGGAGTAGGGTACACTCTCTGCTACGGAAATTGTGGAAGTTGGCGCAAATTTGCATCATTAAATAATACTATCACCATTGATACTAGTATATCGCTTGGTTAGATACACTGGAATGGATATCACACCTACTTATAAACTAGCCCCTAGAGCACGTAAGCAATAATAAATTATAAAACTAATTCATAGCTACCAGTATAATATAATTATTGTATCAGAAAAACAACCCATACCCATATGAGCCGAACAAAAAAGTGTATTGAAAATATGTTAAAATATCAAAAAACTGCAATTGTTTTATTTCAATCCCCCCACGCTCCACCGCTTCGAACTTTAATCGAACTTCATTAGCATATCATATCATCGATTCCATCCTCCAGGTTGGATTCCATCTGGTTCTCTGTTGGCAAACCATACTTTCATTTGAAATTCGATAGCTCACCGGCAAAATTCCGAGATAAATAATAATTATTCAACGGGTTCCATTTCAAGAACTCAACGAATTACTCATGAAATGAAAAGAAGTTTAGTGGCAAATGGCCATAGGAATATGGTGACTTTCTGGGTATTGATAGGATTCCAGAATCGCCAGTCGCCAGATATAAACGCTATGCTTGCAACAAACTTTCCCGTAGTCTCGTTCCACAAAGATTTATGTGGCAGTAAGTAATTTACACACTTCTGAAAATCGTCTAATTTTCTTTCTTTTGAGGTACAAGTTGTTGATTGTTCAAATGGAATCTTTAAAAAATCTTTTTGTATAAATATCCTATGATTCTTTAATTAAAAAGTGTTTTTTGGTAGATGAAAGGAACTTTTCATTGGCAATTTATAAAAGAAAATGTTAGCTTTCACTGCTGTCTAAAGTCTACCGGCAACAATGGTCGACAAATTATAAATCTTTACCTAAAAAAACTAAAATCTATCCTATCCTCTCCCGTGGGCTCCCCTCTCCCCTCTCTCCTAACTGGCCAACAATTGCAGAAAATTGGTAGAAAGTAAAACACAAAGGTCCAATGTGAGTTCAACCTGCGCAACAGTAATGATGAGTGCGTAAAAATACGCGTATTGACAACTTATTAGCCATCGAACCAGTTACCCAACCAGCCAAGAGATTGATCGGATCCATCGATGGACAGATATACGTAGATTGATGAAGCAATTGATTAATTGCCTAAAATAGTGCTGCGGCTGTTGCTGATGCAGCTTTTGCTTTTGATGATGATGATGATGATGATGATGATGATGATAATAATGATGATGAGGAGCTTGTCGTGGTCTCGTCTTGAGTCGCCCATTGTCTTGGCTGACATGTACGATCGCGACGCCATTGTCACTTGAGTAAGCCCCGCTTGGCGCCACTGTGGCATTGAGATCTCCTGCCACTAAACAACCCAGACAACGACGATCTCTGGTTCGCTACTCGCACTGATGTGGGCTAAACTCTGCTCAGGTGTACGGGTATCCACATTTTCGTATGTACTACATTCATACATATGTACATGCCTAGAGCTTGTTCAAGGGCCCCATTGCGGGGCCTATTGTTTTCGCTGGCGGCTTGAAGCTTCAGTCGAGAGCAACTACAACGTAGGCAGTGCCCAGTACCTGTCTGGGTGGCATATGAATGGGTGCTTAAGTGCGTACCAAAAGTGTGCTAAAGTCTGTAGGCCTGAAAGTAAGCTTCAAATGGGGGGAGCGGCAACAGTGAGCTACAAATTGGAGCTTGGACACTGATCTAGTACAACTGGCATTTGCAGTAACATTATCTTTTTATTGATAAAATGGAAGAATCTTTATTTTGATTTTCTCCTCCACTTGGGTACTAAATAAAATTGTACTTTGGAGTCATTAGCATAACATTTTGATGAAATAAATATCTGTATTTGCGAATTAGGCTTAAAGATAGCTGGGCCATGGAAGTATTGTTTTATTCCTGATTTCCAACAGCACGTTTTGGCATTTCAACAGGAGCAACTTCAATGGATAAGTATTGCACTCACAGATAGATGCTAAAGAACAAATTTGAGTATTCAGAAAACGTTTTATATAAGCGAAATAGTTATACTATTTGCATAAATAATTTTGTTGGCCAAACCATAATTTCTTACCAGAGAAGTGGCACTTTTTAGCCAACATGTCTTTATTTTTTGTACCAACTTCTTATATGAATCAATGTATATTTTGTGCTGCATTGTGTTTTGCAGAGTCTCTTTGGACTGGTTTTGGTATGCAAATTCAGCATTTTCGGGCCCGATATTTTCGAGCCTTTGCTGCCGTTGCTGCTGCTGCGTTGCGTTGACAACAGCCAAAACATCATGAGCCCATTCGGTGTCAAAAGCAACAAAATTAAATGCGAAAACAAAAAAAAAAAAAAATAGCAGAGAGAGAGAGAGAGAGAGAGAGAGGGGACAGTATATGTGTTTGCTGTAGTACACAGCCGTCGCAGATTGCGCGGGTGGTCCCCGTACGGGTCTCTGAGTCCATGGTCCTATCCGATCTGGCGGACAGGACACAAGAAAAACAAATGCGCTGGCGACAAAATGTTGCAGTGTTTGCTTAGCGATAAGGACGAGCCCACACACACACACACACACACACACGCACACACAGACCATCGTACAGCGGCAGGACAACAATGCCAAATGCCCAATAATCAAATCGAGTGAAAGAGTGACAATGGGGCATCAGCAGAAGGAGAGGCAGGGGGATGGGTGGGGGGAGAGGTTGGAGTAGCCCACAAATATTGACAGCTGTCTGTGGCTCGTCGTGGAACCAGCCGCGATTTACATAAATATTATTGCAAGCCTAATTAAATGCAAGTATTAGCCATGCCATCCATCCGGCCATGCAGCGCGCCTTTGGGACACCAACTGCCGAACGCGAGAACTTGCATTGTCTGGGGATGCATATCTATGGGATGCATTGTACGAGTATCTATGACTTGGCGCCCTAGGGTGGATCCTTTGTAATTAACGCTGCTTATTTTTCGCGCACTCCCACTTGCAGAGAGACCGACTCCCCGACCTCCCCGACCTCCCCGGCCTCCCCGGCCACCCCTGCCCACTTGATATTTATTTACCTGTTGGCCAGTTGTGTTGATGACCTGTTATCATTGCCCCGTTATAACAATAAATTCCATGGCCATCGTGCCCCAACAAAGGCGACAGTCCAGCCGCGATGGTTGTCGTATCCCACAGTTGTAGTTGTTCTTGCCACGGTTTGCCATTGTTTTGGCAGCTGTCGTTGCAATTAACCGAGCTATAATAGACAATGGCTCTAAAGTACATTTATACCCGCTCATATACATATGTACATATTTATGTATCTACGAATACTGCACTACGGGTATCAGTACATACATTCATGGATGATTGCTATTCGTAAATTGTTGTGGAAAAAAGTGCTTCCAAAAGATTCAACAAAATTGTTCACTTAAAATGTAGCACAAGATGAAATTACACATTAATAAATTATGGAAACAATAATCCTAGTGTGGGATCCAAAGGTATAGTTTGAGATGTGAAGAAACGTAGTACCTTAATGTGTATTTAAACTCAAAAGATAGCCATTGAAATGAGTAGGAAAATATGTTAATTAAGAGTTTATTCAATATCATCAATCAGTCATCGTATAATATTAATCAATGTGGGATTCTAAAAACATATTTTATTATACACATGTACACCCAGAGAAAAAAAACACTGAGCCCCGGATAGTAACACTTAGATTGAAATATTCATGCCGTATATTTGCTCCGGGAGAGGAAATATTGTCATTAATATGAGAATATTTAATTTCAATATATATTATTTAATATGAAATATATTTAGATCAAATTTAGATTAACTATATTTCCTATTTTATATTTCTTTTAAAGTATTTTAGATTTGTATTAAATATGGGCCGAATTATTAGGACTTTTTCATAAATTTATATTCATAGAATATGAATATTTTACAATTTTTGTATGAGCATAAATAAATATACTAAGTCTTTATTCCTTAGATCTCTGAAACCTAATTCCCAGCCCCCGTTTCATGACCAATTTGAGATTGCTTGTTTTCCCTCACAAGATCTGGAAGTTAAAGTTCCTTTGGCTTTAGCCACCACAATGCCATTGAATAAACTTCCGCTGCCTTTTTTCTTTTTCTTTTCCTTTTCGTTCCTTTCCTTCAGATATACGAGTATTGAGGAGGCCATAAAGCCGAGTTTTAGTGCTCTACCGATGTCTGCCAAGACCCGCCGTACCCGAAGCGACTACATTTTTATGGGATTAAACAAACTTTGAGAGCAGAGAAGTCCATGTTTTCGAACACTTTTGAAGTTTTATTGAGTTATAAATACGCAGAAATGGCTTTGGAGTAAGGCAGCAATTTTCAAATTAAATTTATGATCGATTTGTGCAAAAAATCCAACGGGGGAGGCCACAAAATGCTGCGCCAGGCGTCGACATTGAGTAAATTATCCACTAGAAAGAGAAGGAGCGAGTCAACACAACAAAGAGCGAGAGATAGAGAGAGATAGATAGAGAGAGATAAAGACAGAGAGAGAGAGAGAGAGAACGAGGCGCAAAATTTATCGAGCATCGTCTAGTGGGTTGCACCTAAGTTTTTGCAACACAACACAAACTGCAAGCAGTGGGGAAATTTTGATTGACTGTTGCGCTTGAAACGCTTTGATCTGTCGATCAGATAAGTCATGCTGCCCAGGGATGCCAACAGATGGCGCTCGATGAACGATTA